AGGGAGAAGAGAAACATTGGAATACTAGTCAGTACCAGTGTGCAACTGAGGGAGAAGAGAAACATTGGAATACTAGTCAGTACCAGTGTGCAACTGAGGGAGAAGAGAAACATTGGAATACTAGTCAGTACCAGTGTGCAACTGAGGGAGAAGAGAAACATTGGAATACTAGTCAGTACCAGGGTGCAACTGAGGGAGGGAGAAGAGAAACATTGGAATACTAGTCAGTACCAGTGTGCAACTGAGGGAGAAGAGAAACATTGGAATACTAGTCAGTACCAGGGTGCAACTGAAAGAGAATAGAAACACTGGAATACTAGTCAGTACCAGGGTGCAACTGAAAGAGAATAGAAACATTGGAATACTAGTCAGTACCAGGGTGCAACTGAGGGAGAAGAGAAACATTGGAATACTAGTCAGTACCAGTGTGCAACTGAGGGAGAAGAGAAACATTGGAATACTAGTCAGTCAGTACCAGTGTGCAACTGAGGGGAGAAAAGAAACATTGGAATACTAGTCAGTACCAGTGTGCAACTGAGAGAGAAAAGAAACACTGGAATACTAGTCAGTACCAGTGTGCAACTGAGGGAGAAGAGAAACATTGGAATACTAGTCTATACCAGGGTGCAAAAGTGTATTTGCTTTGGAAGAATAAATCATCTCTAATGTTGGGTGTCCTAATAGTTGTATATAACGCAGCAACAGCCACCCATGTAGAACAGTTTTCACATTTTAGAATGGGGCGCCTCAAGACTGTCCATAATTTTTTGAGTGCCTTGACTCAAAGTTGAGAAACACTGACCTAGGCCTGGAAACCAGGAAGTAACTGTAGAAGATGTTTTATTGAGATCCGGGAGGATAGCGATCACGACAGTTCGGGGGACCTTCTGGTTTCAGTTCCTTTAGCAGCAACATGCAGCATCTGTGCTTGCCCCCCCCTCCTCCTGCCCAATCACAGAACACTTTGTATTACGTGAACTCATTCACAAAATGCCAAGGCTTCTGTGAATGGGTAGCAAAGGGGGAGGGGCAGGAGATGCTGTAGTGTCGGAGCTGAGTGTGTGAGAAGACAGCGTCTCTCCTCTCAGAGCCCCAGAGTGTAGCGATAGCTATCCTCCCAGCGCTCCATAAAACTGTCAGATGTAAATAAAAGAGATTAGTCCACCTGGCATGCACCTCGTTGGACGTAACTCCTAGCATACCTGCACATTTTACTAAGCGACTGAATTCATGGAGTTCAACTTTCATATGAATATTGCCTGCAGATACTCAGAACTTGTTCCAGCATTGCATTGTGGTCCACTAGATCATTGGCAAGAGCTTTCTGTTTGTGAGGCCGCAGTCCGGTTTCCCCGGAAGCCCTTCTCACATGAGTTTAGAGGGTGCAGTAAAGCAATCTATAGTGGCAGATTGTGTGGCTGAGCCCAGACCTCTGATTGGTTGGCGAGGCGTGTTGCCGTATTTACAGCTCTCATTGTGATGTGTGGCGTCTGCGTCTGTCCGATGTGCAGGGCTCTTACTGTTCTGTGTTCGTAGGGTCGCAGCACCGCGCCTGTAATTCAGCCAAAGAAAACGCCATCTGAGGAAGAGTTCGAGAACATCAAACTGATCAGCAACGGGGCTTATGGGTAGGTTTTTTTTTTTTTCTTTTCACAAAGTCATGTTATTGAAATCATATTTTTTATACCCATTTTAACCCCTTCCATACCGGGCACTTTCACCCCCTTCCCTCCCAGGCCAATTTTCAGGTTTCAGCGCTCTCACACTTTGAGTGACAATACAACATTGTACCCAAACTAAAATTTTATCATTTTCTTCACACAACTAGAGCTTTCTTTTGGTGGTATTTAATCACCGCTGGGGGGGTTTATTTTTTGCTAAATTAACAAAAAAAAGACCAAAATTTTGAAAATAAAAACACGTTTTTCTTTGTTTCTGTTATAAAAGTTTGCAAATAAAATAATTGTTCTCCATAAATTGAGGCCAAAATGTTGTCTTTGGTGAAAAATAAACCAAAGGATGTATTATTTAGTTTGTAGGAACAAAATATGGGGTTTGTAGGAAAATAGAGTTCACAAACTATGGTATAGATCTGAATATTGATCAATCCTGGTGAAGTACTGACAGTCAATCTAATTTAGGTCCAAGAATGTCAGCACAGTACAGATATCCCCCAAATGTCAGAACAGTACAGATATCCCCCAAATGTCAGGACGGTACAGATATCCCCCAAATGTCAGAACAGTACAGATATCCCCCAAATGTCAGAACGGTACAGATATCCCCCAAATGTCAGGACGGTACAGATATCCCCCAAATGTCAGAACAGTACAGATATCCCCAAATGTCAGAACTCCCCAGAAGTACAGATATCCCCCAAATGTCAGAACAGTACAGATATCCCCCAAAATGTCAGACGGTACAGATGTGTCAGGACAGTACAGATATCCCCCAAATGTCAGACGGTACAGATATCCCCCAAATGTCAGGACGGTACAGATATCCCCCAAATGTCAGGACAGTACAGATATCCCCCAAATGTCAGAACAGTACAGATATCCCCCAAATGTCAGAACAGGACAGATATCCCCCAAATGTCAGGACAGGACAGATATCCCCCAAATGTCAGGACAGGACAGATATCCCCCAAATGTCAGGACAGGACAGATATCCCCCAAATGTCAGGACAGACAGATATCCCCCAAATGTCAGAACAGGACAGATATCCCCCAAATGTCAGGACAGGACAGATATCCCCCAAATGTCAGGACGGTACAGATATCCCCAAAATGTCAGGACAGTACAGATATCCCCCAAATGTCAGGACAGTACAGATATCCCCCAAATGTCAGGACGGTACCCCCAGATATCCCCCAAATGTCAGGACGGTACAGATATCCCCCAAATGTCAGGACGGTACAGATATCCCCCAAATGTCAGGACGGTACAGATATCACCCCAAATGTCAGGACGGTACAGATATCACCCCAAATGACCCTGTCTTTCAAAGTAGACAGTCCGACGTATTTCATAACAGGCATGGCAAGTTTTTTGAAGTTGTCATTTTTATGTCATTTTTCGGAAATTAAGAAATTAAAGTGATTTTCAGTATTTTTTTTTTTTTACATACTGTCACCAGTGCAGTACAGCGTCCTCATATAACTGGCATGGCGGTGATCAGGGACTTTTTTTTATTATTTATTTATTGCATTTTTTTTTCTTTTTTTTTAAGATTTTTTTTTTTTCATCTTTCACTATGACCAAAGTAGTATAATTTTACATAGTAACATTGTACTGCTTTGGGGAAGTGATCAGTATTTTTTTATTTTAATTTTTTTACACAATTTGATTGCTTATAGCAAAGAAATTCTTTGCTATAAGCAAGCATTTAACTTAATGAAATTGATTCATTCAGGGTTTTTTTTGTTGTGATTAGCTGTGATTGGCCACGGCTAATCACATGACACAGATGGGCTGTGATTGGCCCAACCTGTGCATGTGATCACTGCGACCATTCACAGCTAGACACACTTGTATATTATGTATGGCATTAAAGGAAGCCATCCATTGTATGCAACTGTCATGTGACCTGCTGTGATTGGTCACAGCAGGTCACATGGTACTGGCAACGGGGCCGGTACACAGATCTGTCATCGGCTGTGTCTGAGGTACACAGCTGGTGACAGCGCCGCCGCACGGCCCTGCGGGCAGGCGCAATGCGCATGCCTGGAAGGATGCCATATGGCGTCCACACCCGGAGGGATGAGCTGTTCGCCCGGCCGCCATCTGGCTATAGGCCGGGTGGCAACTGGTTAATTTCCCTGGTACCAAAGTTAAATCCTCTTTACTGCTCTGCGTGGCCCCATTGAGAGATTCCCAACAACTTCCTGTCCCGGTGATTGTCATTGCACTTAATGGTTTTAACCCCTTGCCGCCCCCGCCCACAGTAGATGTACTACAAACAAGCGGCGGCGGGTGCAGGCTCAGCAACGTAAATGTATGGTGCCAGACATCTACCTGGTTTGGGGCACGTGTTCGCACGCCCGTCTGCTCCAGTTTTGACAAAACTGTTGTTCCTGATAAAGGCGTGGCATTTAATATCTTTTGCTCCTCCCTCAGGGCGGTGTATCTGGTACGGCACAAGGGCACACGGCAGCGGTTCGCCATGAAGAAGATCAACAAGCAGAATTTAATTTTGAGGAACCAAATCCAGCAGGCCTTTGTGGAGAGGGACATCCTGACCTTTGCCGAGAACCCCTTTGTGGTCAGCATGTTCTGCTCGTTCGAGACGAAGCGCCACTTGTGTATGGTGATGGAGTACGTAGAAGGTGAGCGCCAGTCTGGGGTCCAGTGGAAGTCTACATGATGATTTCTGTGTTTATAGATGGAATGAAAGCGTGTTGCTGGAAAGGAAATGGCTCGATTTTCCCCATCAACACAGTCTGTGTTGATGGGGGAATTCCTCCCATGCAGCTATTGTGCTCTTCTGGCAGAAGAGGCGCGGGGAGCTGTCCTTGCTGGAAGAACACAATGATTGCTGCTAGTGGCTATAGCTACCGGAAATAATCGCACGCTAAAAATCCAGCATGATTGTACCCAAATTGTTCGATGGATCCCTACTGCACGGGCTGAGATTTGATCTATCTATGGCCGACTTATGTATACATTTTCAGTATAAAAATTAATGGGTGGCCCCAGAATGAACTGCCTGAGGGCCACTACACACGGATAGTAGAGGAGAGAGGTGTGGTAAAAGTTTAGTGAAGTGGTCGGATGAGGAGAATGTAGAGGGAATGGTGGGGATATATTTCTGTACAATGAAGGAAATGCGTATTTGCTCCCCGTCTGATGCTGAATGTTCGCCCCTCACACAGAAATGATCGATCGGTCGAACAATGGAATGTTCGGTGTAACACTGAGAGACAGAATACAACAACAAATTCAGCAGAAATGCGTCTAACAAATGATGACTGATCTGCATGTTCATGAGGGAAAGAAGGATTTGATCCCCTATCATTCAGAAGGATTTCTGGCTCCCAGGTGTCTTTCATACAGGTAACAAGCTGAGATTAGAAGCAGTCTCTTAAAGGGAGTGCTGCTAATCTCATTGTGTTACCTGTATAAAAGACACCTGTCCACAGGAGCCATCAAACCATCAGATTCCAAACTCTCCACCATGGCAAAGACCAAAGAGCTGTCCAAGGATGTCAGGGACAAGATGGTAGACCTACACAAGGCTGGACTGGGCTACCAAACTATGGCCAAGCAGCTTGGTGAGAAGGTGACAACAGTTGGTGCAATCATTCACAAATGGAAGAAACACAAAACAAGTGTCAGTCTCCCTAGGTCTGGTGCACCATGCAAGATCTCACCTCGTGGAGTGTCAATGATCATGAAAACAGTGAGGAATCATCCCAGAACTACACGTGAGGATCTTGTCAATGATCTCCAGGCAGCTGGGACCACAGTCACCAAGAAAACAATTGGTAACACACTACGCCGACAAGGACTGAAATCCTGCAGTGCCCGCAAGGTCCCTCTGCTCAAGAAAGCACATGTCCAGGCCCGGCTGAAGTCTGCCACTGAACATCTGAATGATGTAGAGGAGGACTGGTGGGAAGTGTTGTGGTCAGATGAGACCAAAATCCAGCTCTTTGGCATCAACTCAACTCGCCGTGTTTGGAGGAGGAGGAGGAATGCTGCCTATGACACCAAGAACACCATCCCAACTGTGAAACATGGTGGTGGAAACATTCTGCTTTGGGGGTTTTTTTTCTGCTAAGGGGACAGGACAACTGCACTGCATCAAAGGGACGATGGACGGGGCAATGTACTATCAAATCTTGGGTGAGAACCTTTTTCCCTCAGCCAGGGCATTGAAAATGGGTGGTGGATGGGTGTTCCAGCATGACAATGACCCAAAACTCACGGTCAAGGCAACAAAGGAGCGGCTCAAGAAGAAGCACATTAAGGTCCTGGAGTGGCCTAGCCAGTCTCCAGACCTTCATCCGATTGAAAATCTGTGGAGGGAGCTGAATATTTGAGTTGCCAAACATCAGCCACCAAACCTTAATGACTTGGAGAGGATCTGCCAAGAGGAGTGGGCCAAAATCCCTCCTGAGATGTGTGCGAACCTGGGGGCCAACTCCAGGAAACATCTGACCTCTGTGATTGCCAACAAGGGATTTGCCACCAAGTACTAAGTCATGTTTTGTGAAGGGGATCAAATCCTTATTTCCCTCATGAACATGCAGATCAGTCATCATTTGTTAGACATGCATTTCTTTTGAATTTTTTTTGTTGCTATTCTGTCTCTGTGTCACCTACCATTTGATTTTTAGACCGATCATTTCTTTGTGAGGGGCGAACATTCAACATCAGCAGGGGAGCAAATACGCATTTCCTTCACTGTATTTTGTACTTGTCAGATGAGGATGTAGAGGGAGGGAATGGTGGGGATGTATTCCTGTGACTTACACTTGTTATATGAGGATATGGAGGATGTAGAAGGAATGGTGGGGGATATACTCCTATGTTTTATACTCTTTTGATGAGAATATGGAGAATGTAGGGGGAACAGTGGGGAATTTCTATGTCAATCACTTGTCAGATGAGGATATGATAGGATGCACAGGGGACGGTAGGTATATACACGTCCTATACTTGTCCTGATGTTGGCGTATCTCTGTCCCCCACAGGGGGTGATTGCGCTACGCTCCTGAAGAATATCGGAGCCCTCCCTGTGGAAATGGCCAGGATGTATTTTGCAGAAACAGTTCTTGCGTTAGAATATCTCCATAACTACGGGATCGTCCACCGAGATCTCAAGCCGGATAAGTACGTCTATCCTGTGACCACGTATTCCAAGTGAGGTGGTCTTTGTAATGTGGACTTGTGTCAGTATAAAAAACATGGTGTCCTTTGTCCTGCAGCCTCCTCATCACCTCCATGGGGCACATCAAGCTGACAGATTTTGGACTTTCTAAGATTGGGCTGATGAGCTTAACGACCAATCTGTATGAAGGACACATAGAAAAGGACACCCGAGAGTTTCTGGACAAACAGGTGAGATGATACCTTCCCCTCAGATAGCAGGTTAAGGATGGAGGTTTATCATGAAGAATTTATCTGATTATGTAACTTATAATAGTTAGAATTGTTCCCCTTTTCCTTTCTCCAGGTGTGTGGCACCCCAGAATACATTGCTCCAGAGGTCATCCTGAGGCAGGGCTATGGGAAGCCTGTGGACTGGTGGGCAATGGGTGTCATTCTTTATGAATTTTTGGTGGGCTGTGTTCCCCCTTCTTTGGAGACACCCCAGAAGAGCTGTTTGGACAGGTGATCAGCGGTAAAGTAGTTTATATGTCCCGGTCAGAGGTTTGTGCACCCCCCTCCAAATGATGGAGTTCAGGTGTTTCCAATGAAGGGTATTGTTATTACTAGGTCATACAAAGACATTGTAGACAATTGTGGTAACAGTTTGGTGAAGACCCTTTTCTGTTCTAGCATGACTGTGCCCCTGTGTACAAAACCAGCTCCGTAAAGACATGGTTTGACCAGTTTGGGGTGGAGGAACTGATATGTCCTACACCTCAACCCTGCTTGAATACCTTTTGGGATGAATTTGAACATTGACTGCAAGTCATGCCTTTTTTTTTTTTTTTTTGGTGTCCAACATGAGGATCAATTTTATATGAGCCAGGTCTCATCCAACATCAGTACCTGACCTCATAAATAGGTACACATTCTCACAGACACTCTCCAAAATCTTGAGGAAGAAGAGTGGAGGGTGTTCTAGCCCCAAAAGCAGCAACTCCATATTAATTCCCAGGAAATAGGGCAGTGGGTTTCAACCTATGAGATATAGGGGCCTCAAATCGATGCTCTTATCGCCATTACAGAATTCTGGGGTGCACAGCAAGTACCAAAGGGCCCTGACAGGGGAATAGGGTTTCCAGCAAGCTCATAGAGGTGTGATGTCTGGGGTGCTCAGGATTTTGGTCATATAGATGTGTGCTTTTCTATTTGACACTTCACAGCCTAAACATTGTGTATGCCTTTAGGTGTCTTCATTTGTCACACAATGTCAGCAATCACTTTACAATTTAGGGAGAACACGTGGACTGAAAACGGTCTTCTACAACATTTTTGACCATAGATTGTGGTGTGAGGTGAACTTGTGTAGGGCTCCATTCACACTTGTACGACTCCAAAGTCAAGCAACTTTGGATGGGTGCAACTTAGATGTGACTTGTTGTCCCTCTACAAAGTTGGACCCACTGTTGCACCTAAAAGATTTAGGTATGACTTTCATGCAACTTTTGAGGGTTAACATTGAAGTCTATGGCCCTCAAGTTGCATGAAAGTCAGACCAAAGTAGTGCATGTGAAATTGTTATTCTATGCTGCCAACATCACTTGGCACCTGTAACGGAGCTGCACCCCGACTGCGCTTGGGTACTTCCGTTAGAATACCGCTGCCCTGTCCGAACACCGACCACAGACACCACAGCTGACCATACAAGACTAGACGACACCAGTCTTGGAAGTAAACCAGGAAATAGACTACTTTATTTTAACACAGATACAAGATATATACATTCAAGGGAACAACCCCCCCTCCCTGCATAATGACACAGGGCGGGGCAATCTACCTTTAGTAACAAGAGACACACCAACAGACACTCCCATCAGGAGGGCTGCTGGAAACACCCCCCACCAAACTAATACACACAAACACATACATCCCATAATGGTTTGCTCCCAAGCAAGACACACAATAGAACAATGGGATGCAACCACATGACATTACGCAATCACCAACCCCCCCCCAATATTAGGACAGATCACCCTGTACCCCTAACAGGCACAGGGTGACTTACACATAATAGGGATATGGGGAGCTGAGACAGGGGTCTCCCCACCTCTCTAAAGTGAGCTGTGTTCCATGGACCCCCCCACCCAAAGTGACTCCCGTCACAGCACCCCCTCTCCATTTCATACATCCCATACTATAGGAACTCCCTCCCATCAGTGCAGAGAGTAGGAATCCACAGCGAATGACGATTGCAGACCCCACACTGATAACATGGGTTGATTTGTGTTTCTATTTGTAATGAATCCCCTTATTCCAGATGAGATTGCCTGGCCAGATGGAGAAGAGGCTCTGCCAGCCGATGCCCAGGATCTCATCTCCAGACTTCTCCGCCAAAACCCCCTGGAACGAATGGGTACAGGTGGGTTCCATGCGGATATCCTGTCATAGGAACTTGGAATTTTTTATAATTGACCAGTATTATATATTGTAGCATCCAGTCGCTTATCCATGATGGCTTTTTTATTTTTGTCCAGGTGGAGCCTATGAGGTGAAGCAGCACAGATTCTTCAAGGATCTGGACTGGAACGGGCTGCTGCGACAGAAAGCCGAGTTCATTCCACAGCTGGAATCTGAGGATGACACCAGTTACTTTGACAGTAAGACTTCCTCACCTGCATGTTATTACTGCCCTTCTTTCCCCAACAAAGGCCGCCTGCAGACAGCTGGATGAAAACAAGGAATGTTCTTGGACCTTTTACATATGAATATCGGGCTATCGCTGCCCTGCTGGTGGGGTAGTATCTGCTGGGAATTTCCCTGGAAGTGGCTTCTGATCTCTGAACAAACAAATGGCAGCCACCCCAACCTATATAACTAGCTTTTGGAGCAAGGAGCACATTGAGGGGCAATGCAGGTCAAACAAATTTCCAGCTCACTTACCAGCCAGCTTGCAATAAACCAAATTGTCATGTTTAACAGTTCACGTTAATAACCAGGGGTTTAGTTTGCGCACATTTGCAAATATATACGTAAGCTGTAGAGGCCACGTCACGGCACCCCAGTGTACTGCAGTCCTTACTCTCATTTTGAGAGTCTTCCAAGTTGGAGCACATATATAATAATGGATTGATTAAAGGCAGGTATACCTGCAGGGAGCCCACCCCTCCTTAAAGGTACAGGGACACACCGAACACCCAGAAAAAGCACAATGGCTGCAAAGTTATTCAGTGCATCCCCTCGCCAAATTACCAACATTACTATTGTAACTGAACCGGACCCAGTCTGCACTTGGGTATTACCGTTATAATACCGCTTCCCCGTCCGAACACCGACCACGGATACCACCGCTGACCATACGAGACTAGACGAGACCAGTCTTGAAATAAATCAGGAAATAGACTACTTTATTTTAACACAGAAGATATATACATTCAAGGGAACAATCCCCCCTCCCTGCATAATGACACAGATGTGGGCAAACCGCATCTAGCAACAACAAGAGACACATCAGCAGACCCCCCCCCCCCCCCCCCCCCCCCCACTAAGCCAATACACAAACACATACATCCCATAATAGTTTGCTCCCAAGCCAGACACACAATAGAACAATGGGATGCAACCACATGGCATTAAACAATCAACAACCCTTCACCTCAATATTAGGACAGATCACCCTGTACCCCTAACAGGCACAGGGTGACTTACACATAATAGGGATATGGGGAGCTGAGACAGGGGTCTCCCCACCTCTCCAAAGTGAGCTGTGTTCCATGGCCCCCCACCCAAAGTGACTCCCGTCACAATTAATATACAGGATTTATAGAGCGCCAACAGTTTGCTCAGCGCTTTACAATATAAAGGGAGACAATACAGTTCAATACAAGTGGGTTAGGTGGGCCCTGATCCTGGGAGCTTACAATCTAAAATTACAAACAAATGGCAACCACGCAAACCCACAACTGGCCTTTGCAGCAAGGAGCACATGAAAGGGCAATGCATGTGTAAAAAAAAAAAAAAAAAAAAAAACCCAGCTCACCAGCCACCCTTTAGCATACTAAATTGTCCTGTCTAACAGCTCACATTAAAACCAAGGGGTTTAGTTTGCACACGTTTTCCAATATATGCGTATGCTGTAGAGGCCACGTCACGGCACCCCAGTGTACTGCAGTCCTAACTCTATCATTTATATGGTAAGACAAAGTGAGTGCTGTTAATATAGCAGCTGTGGCACTAAAGGTAACCAAAATAAACCTTAATAAAACTGTATAAATAGGAAGTGCAGCGCTAGTAAAATAATTCATAGGATATAAAAGTTCATGTAAGTTCATATAAGTGTAGATAAAAGATCACCTCCGTAGCAGAATTCAAAAAGCTTGTGCCTGGAAACTATGGTAAAATTGCGCACTCACCAGAAGCGCATAGGTAATGCGCATGTAAATATATCCACCATGGACCACTTAGGCAGGCGGGATACCAGACGCTTGACATACCCCACCTGCCTAAATGGTCCATGATGGATATATATATTACCTATTTGCTTCTGGTGAGTGCGCAATTTAACTGTTGTTTCCAGGCACAAGCTTTTTGAATTCTGCTACGGAGGGGATCTTTTATCTTCACTTATCATATGAACTTTTATATCCTATGAATTATTTTCCTAGCGCTGCCCTTCCTATTTATACACTAACTCTATCATTGAGAGTCTCCCAAGTTGGATCGCTGATCTCTAACTTTTTTTTTGGTACTTTGCCCTGCAACCTCAGTTTTGCAGTGGTTCGAATCCCAAGCACGGCGCTACCTGCATGGAGTTTGCATATTCTTCCTGTGTGGGTTTCCTCTAGGTACTCCGGTTTCCTCCTATACTCCAAAGATGTTCTAGTAGGTGAATTGTCTCCTGTCTAAATTGGCCATAGTATGTGAATGTATGAATGTTGTTGGGGACCGTAGATTGTGCGCTCCTCGGGGGCGGGGACTGATGTAAATATACTATATATGTAAAGTGCTGTGTGATTTGTCATTGCTATAGAAATCCCTATAATAAATAGAGTAAAGGGTGACAAGTTCCAGGTGTGGATTGTGGCAGGTCCTGGAGCTCATGGTAGGATAAATGGATATATCCCCGTGTATCCCCGTGATAGGATCGATCGTTCCCAGGACTCATGGTAGGATAAATGGATATATCCCCGTGTATCCCCGTGATAGGATCGATCGTTCCCAGGACTCATGGTAGGATAAATGGATATATCCCCGTGTATCCCCGTGATAGGATCGATCGTTCCCAGGACTCATGGTAGGATAAATGGATATATCCCCGTGTATCCCCGTGATAGGATCGATCGTTCCCAGGACTCATGGTAGGATAAATGGATATATCCCCGTGTATCCCCGTGATAGGATCGATCGTTCCCAGGACTCATGGTAGGATAAATGGATATATCCCCGTGTATCCCCGTGATAGGATCGATCGTTCCCAGGACTCATGGTAGGATAAATGGATATATCCCCGTGTATCCCCGTATCCCCGTGATAGGATCGATCGTTCCCAGGACTCATGGTAGGATAAATGGATATATCCCCGTGTATCCCCGTGATAGGATCGATCGTTCCCAGGACTCATGGTAGGATAAATGGATATATCCCCGTGTATCCCCGTGATAGGATCGATCGTTCCCAGGACTCATGGTAGGACAAATGGATATTGTCCCCCGTGTATCCCCCAAGTGTGATAGGATCGATCCTGTGTACCAGGACTCATGGTAGGACAGACGGATTTGTCTCCACTCATTGCCCTGTGACCAAGTGATCAGTCCTGTGTACTTCCTTCACCCAGTGTGAATCCTGTGTAGGGATCCCTCTGTACCAAGAAATCGGTTACATCCTTATGGTCTTAAGGTGTCTTTCTGTGTACCAAGGTCGCTGTCGCTTGTCCTGTGTACCAAGGTGTCGCTTGTCCTGTGTACCAAGGTGTCGCTTGTCCTGTGTACCAAGGTGTCGCTTGTCCTGTGTACCAAGGTGTCGCTTGTCCTGTGTACCAAGGTGTCTCTTGTCCTGTGTACCAAGGTGTCGCTTGTCCTGTGTACCAAGGTGTCGCTTGTCCTGTGTACCAAGGTGTCCTGCTTGTCCTGTGTACCAAGGTGTCGCTTGTCCTGTGTGTACCAAGGTGTCGCTTGTCGTGTCCTGTGTACCAAGGTGTCGCTTGTCGTGTGTACCAAGTGTCACTTTGTCCTGTGTACTAAGGTGTCACTTGTCCTGTGTACCAAGGTGTCGCTTGTCTTGTCCTGTGTTGTCCTGTGTACCAAGGTGTCACTTGTACCTGTGTACCAAGGTGTCTCGTCCTGTGTACCAAGGTGTCACTTGTCCTGTGTACCAAGGTGTCTCTTGTCCTGTGTACTAAGGTGTCACTTTTCCTGCTTCTTCTCATCTTTGCTTTTGTGTTTGCTAACACAGCTCGCTCAGAGAGGTATCAGCATTTGGACTCGGAGGAGGAGGATGACACAAATGATGAGGAACGCTTGGAGATCAAACAATTCTCTTCCTGTTCTCCCAGATACAGCAAGGTAACCATATTCTGTTTCCTCCGCTTAGTCTGAGACGGAGGAGAGAACTGAGAACTGCTGACCTTAGGAGCCAATGGGAACGTGTACCGTAGAGCAGAGAGATGGGATCTGGTAGTATAGACAGGGGGATCGTGTCCCATAGAGCAGAGAGATGGGATCTGGTAGTATAGTATAGACAGGGGAGATCGTGTACCATAGAGCAGAGAGATGGGATCTGGTAGTATAGACAGGGGGATCGTGTCCCATGTAGCAGAGAGCTAGAGCAGAGAGCTGGGATCTGGTAGTATAGACAATCGGGGATCATGTGCCATAGAGCTGGGATCTGGTAGTATAGACCATCAGAGGGATCCATGCGCTATAGAGCTGGGATCTGGTAGTATAGACCGTAAGGGAGATCCATGTGCCATAGAGCTGGATCTGGTAGTATAGACCATCAGGGGGATCCATGTGCCATAGAGCTGGATCTGGTAGTATAGACCATCAGGGGGATCCATGTGCCATAGAGCTGGATCTGGTAGTATAGACCATCAGGGGGATCCATGTGCCAAGAGCTGGATCTGGTAGTATAGACCATCAGGGGGATCCATGTGCCATAGAGCTGGGATCTGGTAGTATAGACCATCAGGGGGATCCATGTGTCATAGAGCTGGGATCTGGTAGTATAGACATGATTCTTTCCTGCGTTTCTATTGGTCAATTTGCACAGGACATTTAGGACATCTAATTGAGGGAAAATGATGGGACAACAGCACCACCTAGTGTACAATGCTCAGTATTGTGGGTGATGAGGATTCCCTCTGTAGCAGAGGTTTTGTTATCACAGTTGTCCATCTGTCCCGGGGCATCGGTGGGACCTGCCGCAAAGTGCTCCAAGTTCTCAGTGCCTGTTGTGGGTCCTGCAGTCTGTAGACAGATCTGGAAACGGGGAACTTCAGTATGAGGTGCAGATCATGCAACAGGAATTTCCCGGCTTGAAGTTTCTGCTACTCTCCGGCCTTATTGGTGCCCTTTTAGGTTTTCTTACACCATTCTCGGCCTATTTCCAGGTGTACAGCAGCATGGAGCGCCTGTCCATTCATGAAGAGAAGACCCCCCCACCTACAAAGCGCAGCCTCAGCGAGGAGAAGGACGACAAGTTGGACAGCTTAGGGGGGCTGAGGAACAGAGACCGAAGCTGGATCATCGGATCGCCAGAAATGTAAATATTTCTCCAGAGTTGCTGTATCTTCCCATCACATCCCCTCCTCAGAACCCCGGCTAAGGAACGAGTTTAATCTCCCTAGATGTTTCCTCAGCAGATCCCCGGCTTATAAGTATCCTTGTTCAGCAGATCCCCAGCCCATTGGTGCCCTCAGTCGGCAGACCCCAGCTTACTAGTACCCTTGCACAGTGGTCCCCAGCTCAGTAATACCCCAGCTCTGCTGATGCCCCACTCACAAGCAACCCCCAGCTTTGCTGATGCCCCACTCAGTAGTAACCCCCAGCTCTACTGAACCCCACTCAGTAGTAACCCCCAGCTCTGCTGAACCCCACTCAGTAGTAACCCCCAGCTTGCTGATCCCCCCCCCTCCCCCCAGTCAATAGTAACCCCTAGCTTTGCTTATCCCCCCCACTCAATAGTAACCCTAGCTTTGCTTATCCCCCCCACTCAATAGTAACCCCTAGCTTTGCTTATCCCCCCCACTCAATAGTAACCCCTAGCTTTGCTTATCCCCCCCCCACTCAATAGTAACCCCTAGCTTTGCTTACCCCCCCCCCCACTCAATAGTAACCCCTAGCTTTGCTGATCCCCCACTCAATAGTAACCCCTAGCTTAGCTGATCCCCCCCATTCAATAGTAACCCCTAGTGTAGCTGATCCCCCCACTTAATAGTAACCCCTAGCTTTGCTGATTCCCCCCCCCCCCCCCCCCACTCAATAGCAACCCCCAGCTTTGCTGATCCCCCCACTCAATAGTAACCCCTAGCTTTGCTGATCTCCTGCCACTCATTAGTAACCCCTAGCTTTGCTGATCTCCTCCACTCATTAGTAACCCCCAGCTCTGCTGAACCCCACTCAGTAGTAACCCCCAGCTTTGCTGATCCCCCCCCCCCCCCCCCCAATAGTAACCCCTAGCTTTGCTTATCCCCCCCACTCAATAGTAACCCCTAGCTTTGCTTATCCCCCCCACTTAATAGTAAACCCTAGCTTTGCTGATTCCCCCCCCCCACTCAATAGCAACCCCCAGCTTTGCTGATCCCCCCACTCAATAGTAACCCCTAGCTTTGCTGATCTCCCCCACTCATAGTAACCCCCTTTGCTGATCTCCCTCCACTCATTAGTAACCCCCAGCTCTGCTGAACCCCACTCAGTAGTAACCCCCAGCTTTGCTGATCCCCCCCCCCTCCCCCCCAGTCAATAGTAACCCCTAGCTTTGCTTATCCCCCCCACTCAATAGTAACCCCTAGCTTTGCTTATCCCCCCCACTCAATAGTAACCCCTAGCTTTGCTTATCCCCCCCCCCCCCACTCAATAGTAACCCCTAGCTTTGCTTACCCCCCCCACTCAATAGTAACCCCTAGCTTTGCTGATCCCCCACTCAATAGTAACCCCTAGCTTAGCTGATCCCCCCCATTCAATAGTAACCCCTAGTGTAGCTGATCCCCCCACTTAATAGTAACCCCTAGCGTAGCTGATCCTCCCACTTAATAGTAAACCCTAGCTTTGCTGATTCCCCCCCCCACTCAATAGCAACCCCCAGCTTTGCTGATCCCCCCACTCAATAGTAACCCCTAGCTTTGCTGATCTCCTCCACTCAATAGTAACCCTAGCTTTGCTGATCTCCTCCACTCATTAGTAACCCTAGCTTTGCTGATCTCCTCCACTCATTAGTAACCCTCAGCTCTGCTGATTCCCACACTTAGTATTAAGTGCGGGGTTTAAGAGTCATGTGACCGCCATGATTCGTTGTCACGGCGGTCACATGATCGGAAAAGGTCCTGATCGCAAGGGGAGATCGAGATCTCTCTGTGAGTCATGGACATATGTCCTGGGAGCACACGGGGTGTGCGCTGTCAGCACGTATGTATTTTCTAATGGCACGCACGCAAATATGCGGTCGCTTGACGTCAAGGCCCAGACTCAGAGAGGCCGCATATTTGCGTGCGCTCCATGTCTAGGGGTTATATGAGAACTATTTGCAAAGCCTGTGTCGCCCAATCAGATTCTTCCCTTCCTGTTTGTAGGGAAGGGTAGAGAATAGTTCATACAGACATCCTGTACAGATCTGTCTTTTTCCCGCGCTGCCTTCCGTTGTGCATTCCGTTCCCGCTGCCCGGAGGCTTCCCGTAGTCAGAACCACCATCTCCATCCTTTTTATGCTCTTTGCTTTTTTTTTTTTTTTTTTTTTTTTTTTTTTTTTAGTCTCCGGAAACGTCTCTCTGCCTCAGAGTCATCCCACACTGAGAGCGACTCCAGCCCTCCGCTGACGGTGCGCAGACGCTGCTCCACGCTGGTCGACATGCCGCGTTTTGCTATCTCCACTGAAGAGGAACTCCGCTTACAGAAGAAAGCAACGCACCATGAAACTTCTTCAACGCCGACTTCCTTCTCCCAAGAGGGAGGGCTGCGCAACCTGTGGAGCGAGAACTGAAACTGGATGAAGATCTCGGACCGAATACTCCATCCTCTACCAGCAGTAACATCAGCAGCTCCACCACACTGACCGGTAATTATTATTCTACAGGATTTATATAGCGCTTATTATATTTATATACATTATATTGATGATATTTATATACATTATATTTTTGATATTTATATACAGGCAGTCCCCGAGTTAAGTACATTCGGCTTACGTAAATACTCATACTTACGTACACTTCCCTCGGGACCGGAAGTCAAGCTGTCAGCATTCTTGTGCAGCAAGCTGATAAGAGACTAGCTGATAAGAGACATCAGAGAGACATAAGAGACAGAGACATCCATTGCTCGTTACTTGTGGGGCTAGCAGTGTCTGCCCACTATCTCCAAAGTGATTTAAGACTGTCTGTCTGCACCTCCGGGGAGAGGAAAGGAGAGGCTGTCAGGCTGCTCACTGAAGTGATCCTCCGTCTGTGCAGGGGGAGGGGGCAGCGTGTGCTGTGTAAAGGAGAGCAGAGTTCTCTCATACAGTACATTACAGTACAGTGTAGTTTAGCCAAAGATAGTTTAAAGTTGTACTCTACACTGTACAAGAGTTTACAGTATAATATTTGAATGTTGAATTTGATATTTAAACATTTACATATGCACATAAAAGTTAAATATGTTAAGGCAAACATGTGTCCAAGCTGCAGTTCTTATGCAAAAACACCAGTTTAGAGCCTCTTGAGGTTTTACTGCTTTCTGTAACCTTATTACAAAAACGTAATCTAATATCCTGTCGTTTTGGTTAGTAGTTAGTGCTTATAAAAGTGCCTGATTCAACTTATGAACAAATTCGACTTATGAACAAACCTACAGTCCCTATCTTGTACGTAACCCGGGGACTGCCTGTACATTATATTTTTGATATTTATATACATTATATTGATGATATTTATATACATTATATTGATGATATTTATATACATTATATTTTTGATATTTATATAAATTATATTTTTGATATTTATATACATTTTATTGATGATATTTATATACATTTTATTGATATTTTATATAATTTATATTTTTGATATTTATATACATTATATTTTTGATATTTATATACATTGATATTTATATACATTATATTGATGATATTTATATACATTATATTTTTTTGATATTTATATACATTATTTTGATATTTATATACATTATATTGATGATATTTTATATATACATTATATTGATGATATTTATATACATTATATTGATGATATTTATATACATTATATTGATGATATTTATATACATTATATTGATGATATTTGTATACATCTTATTGATATTTATATAACATTATATTTTTGATATTTATATACATTATTTTGATATTTATATACATTATATTGATGATATTTGTATACATTATATATGATATTTGTATACATTATTTTGATATTTATATACGTTATATTGATGATATTTATATATATATTTATTATTGATGATATTTATATACATTATATTGATGATATTTATATACATTATATTTTTGATATTTATATACATTTTATTGATAGTTATATACATTTTATTGATAATATATACATTTTATTGATGATATTTATATACATTATATTTTGATATTTGTGTACATTATATTGATGATATAATATTTAAATATACCGTATTTGCCGGCGTATAAGACGACTTTTTACCCCTTAAAAATCTTCTCAAAAAAGTCGGGGGTCGTCTTATACGCCGGTATACGGCATACTGACACTTTTTAGGGGGGCGGCGCGGTGCCGCCGCCGCCCCCCCCCCCCCCCCCTTCCCCTAACGGAAGGGACACTAAGTACAGGGGTGGGCAGGGGCTATTTCTTACCTGGTTCCGGTCCCACGACGATCCGGTCCAGGAAGCGCCTTCAGTTCGGCCACTGGATGTTCGCGCGGCTGCTCGGCTCCGCCTCCTCACCAGCGATTGGCCGCCAGAACTGTAGCTCAGGAAAGGCACAGGCGGCCAATCACCGGCGAGGGGGTGGAGCCGAGCGGCCCCGCGAAAATCGAGTGCAGGACCAGCAGGTAAGTGGTCAGTGTAGAGGTGCTGCTGCAACCACATATGCTGGCTGCAGCAGCACCATACGAGAACAGAGTCAGCAAGTGTCAGTGGGAGGAATAGTGCCCCATCATTGGTGTCACTGATACCAATGATGGAGCACTATTCCTCCCACTGATACCTATGATGGGGCACTATTCCTCCACTGACACCAACGATGGGGCACTATTCCTCCCCCCCACTGACACCAACGATGGGGCACTATTCCACCCCCCACTGACACCAATGATGGGGCACTATTCCACCCCCCACTGACACCAATGATGGGGCACTATTCCACCCCCCACTGACACCAATGATGGGGCATTCTATTAATGATGGGGCATATTCCCCCCCCACTGACACTAATGATGGGGCACTATTCCACCCCCCCTGACACTGAAAATTCATAATGATGGGACACACAAAAATTCCTCCCACTGACACCAATGTTGGGACACTATATTCCTCCCTGAATGATACCACTGATACCAATGATGGGGCACTATTCCTCCCACTGATACCAATGATAATGATGATGGGACACTATTCCTCCCACTGATACAAAATGGGAATCTAATGATACCAATGGGGCACTATTCCTCCCACTGATACCAATGTGGGGCACTGGTGTGCATTGGAAGAGGGGTAGTCTTATACGGCGAGTATAGCCCAAACACTACATTTTAGCAGGAAAAGTAGGGGGGTCGTCTTATACGCCGGCAAATACGGTAGGTAGTGACCCATCACTGTGTGTGAGTGAGCGGGCCAGCCTCATGCATTTAGAATGTAGGAATTTCAAATATCCCATCTATGCTATTTTCTACATTTCTGTTAGAAGCCTCTGATAGAAGCAGCCGCTCTCTGAATCCAACGCCACATATCTCTCTCATCCGAGAGCTGTGACATAGCTTGTGGTGGAAACTGATGCTTTGGTGGCTCACACCCAGTGCGTGGTCTGGGGGTCGGACAATGGCAGCTTCTATCACAAGCAGGGAAACAAAAAAGGTGGCTGTTCACAAGCTTTTACATAGCATTCCCGTGTCCAAGGAGAGCAGAGACAGGCAAGAAGATGGAGCTTGTTCTGGATATTGTATGTACTCCCCAGTGCTTCAGGAAATGGCCAGCCAAAGGGAAGCCAAGGGGACCAGGACAGAGATAACCAAAAGAGGATGCTTCAGGGGTGCAGCCCTCCTCAGACGGGGGAGATCAGCCACTAGATAAAGAGTAAACAGAAGGCGCACACACCTAGTGCATTATCCAAGGTTTATTCAAAGGTATAAAAAAAGAAAAAACATACTCAGATGAAGCATGTATAAAAAAAAGCTTTTGCATTACCCCCCCTGGCGGTATTGCCCGAGTGTAGCTCGGGGTAAAGTTTCAGCACCACAAGTGGTAACCCCCCCCGAGCTACACTCGGGAATACACTGCAGCATTGCTCCGGGATCTGTTCTGCACTTACCTTGTCCTGCGCTCCCGCGATGTCCCTCCTGCAGGGTCCCCTCTAATGTCCTCGCCGATGCCGGCATCTGTCTTCCGGGTTCCGTTCCCTGCGACGTCGGGACGTAACGGAACTGGGGGGAAATTCAAAAATGTGAAAAAAGTGACATTCACTAAATACACTAAAAATCACATAGTATAACATTCTGTATCAAACCATTTTCACATACATTCTGTCCCGAGTGCTTTGTCCGGCGCCCTGCCTGCATTTTTACTGTTCTTTCTGCCTGGAAACTGAGAAAAATAAAAAATGGCGTCCAAAAAGCGTCCCTTTAGGTCAGACGCGGTTTTAGACCGGCTAGAGAACAGCGATAGTAAATCAGAACCACTTGCAGAATTGAGTGATAATGATTGGTGGGGGAAATTCCTCATCAGACACTGAAAAAAATTCTGCGACTGAGCTCAGCGATGTGCGAACTTGGCGCTATATTTCACATTTCAGTGTTTTTGGTTTGATTATATTATTGAATTAAAATTATTATTATATAATATTTTTTATGATTATTAAATTATAATTTATGATTTCGTGTTTCAAATTTTATTCATCCCCGGGATGTTTACTAGACTCTTGTTCGGACAGATTTCAGTGAGTTATTCCTACAAATTACAGGCCTACAATGAAAAAAATACATATTTCCATGCAAAAAAATGTACCGCTTTGAGCACAGAAATACTGACATAATCAGACCGCTAGGGAGGCTACGAAGATGGTCACAACGGCAAGCAAGGTGTTCCAACTGTCAGTGCGGTCAAATACTGACGCGTTTCGGGGACGAGTCCCTTTCCTCAGAGCTGCTGACCAGCCTGTATGAAGGTTAAGCTGTAAATAAACCATGGCTGAATGCCTTGGGAGCAAAAGTTCCACCTCCTCTACTTATTAAAGAGCGAGGAGTTAGAGGGGGTTCTTTCAAGTACAATATTTAGTTCTTTATATAAAAATATATACACATATATCCATACACAAAAAAAGCAAATAGATAAATAAATAAATCATTTGCAAATATAAATAGATAAAAAATAATAGTAGTAATAATAGCAATAATTAAAAAGTGAAGATCATAAAACGAAGTGGGTTATACATTTTTTTTTTTGCAATAAAAATTAGTGTATGTGGCTGCAGAATATATATAATATATTAATTGGTTGCATCAAGTTAAAAACTTATTTTTTGGTAATGGTAAAAAAAGAATGTTATAAAAATGAAAGGTAAAAATAAAAGTAAATGTGAAAAAAAAAATAAAATAAGAGAGTAAAAATGTAAAATAAAGTAAAAGGTTGTAAAAAAAATTATTATAAAAATTACTATTATAATAATTAATAATACGGACAAAATGGGGAAGGATGTGAAAAGTGTATAAAACAAAACAAAAAAAAAAAATGTTTTTGTCTTTTATACCCTTTGAATAAACCTTGGGTAATGCACTAGGGGTGTGCGCCTCCTGTTTACTCTTTAGGATGGACACCCCCCATAGAAGGCTGAATCACAAAGACTGGCTGCGCGCTGATGTCAGCATTTTCAGAAAACTTTATTGTTCCACATGTGTACACATAGAAGCACTGCTTGGACGGTAATCTATGACTGAGCCCATCTCTGGGGTGAAACGCGTCGGTGTGCAGCTTGTCTTTGTGATCCGGCCTTCCATCAGAAGCAGTTATGACGGTACATTTACAGACTTTGTTTTGTGTGATCTGCAGCAGGCAGCACGACCGACTTCTCTGATCAGAGCGCGCACATCGCCGGCTCGGACTCCTCTGACGTCACCACCCGAAGGCCATCAGTGACCTGGCGGTAAGGAGAGCGCGTCACCGGCTACTGTCTGGGGACTCTGGAGAGAAACGCCCTTCCCGGCCTGTCAATAAAGTCATCAAATCTGCTTCTGCCACGGCGTTGTCCCTAATGATCCCCTCCGGTACGTCCGGTATGTCCGATCGTTCCTGGAACATGTGGTTTATGTTATGGGGAACAAGGTGTGGATCAAGGATGGATATGTAGATAAATGGGATGGGTATATAGAGGGAGGGAGGGATGAGTATATAGAGATAGGGGGTGGGTATATATAGAGAGAGGGAGGGAGGATGGGTATATATAGAGAGAGGGAGGGAGGATGGGTATGTAGAGAGGGAGGGAGGGAGGGAGGGATGGGTATATATAGAGAGAGGGAGGGAGGGATGGGTATATAGAGAGAGGGAGGGAGGATGAGGATATAGAGAGAGGGAGGGAGGAGGGATATAGAGGGAGGGATAGATAGGATATAGAGAGAGGGAGGGAGGATGAGTATATAGAGAGGGAGGATGGGTGTAGAGGGAGGGAGGATGGGTATATAGAGAGAGGAGGAGGGAGGGAAAGGGAGAGGGTATAATAGAGAGAGGGAGGAGGGGTATGGAGAGGGAAGGGAGGATGGGTATAAGAGGGAGGGAGGGATGAGGATATAGAGAGAGGGAGGGAGGGATGAGATATAGAGAGAGGGAGGAGGAGGGTATATGAGAGGATAGGGGATAAGAGAGAGAGGGAGGGAGGGATGGGAGATATGAAAGAGGGAGGGAGGATGGATATAGAAATAGAGGGAGGGAGGATGGGTGGTATATAGAGGGAGGGAGGGGATGAGTATATAGAGGGAGGGAGGGATGAGTATATAGAGAGAGGGAGGGAGGATGGGTATATAGAGGGAGGGAGAGGAAGAGGGAGGGAGGGAGGATATATAGAGGGAGGGGGGGATGGTATATAGAGGGAAGGAGGATGGCTATAATAGAGATAGGGAGGAAAAAAAGAGGGAGGGAGGGAGGATGGGTATATAGAGGGAGGGAGGATGGTATATATAGAGGGGAGGGAGGATGGGTATATAGAAGGAGGGAGGATGAGTATATATGAGAGGGAGGGAGGATGGGTATATAGAGAGAGGGGAGGATGGGTGTATATAGAGAGGGAGGATGGGTGTATATAGAGAGGGAGGGAGGATGGGTATATAGAGAGAGAGGGAGAGGGTAAATAGAGATGGGTGTATATAGAGAGGGAGGGAGGGAAAGGGTATATAGAGAGAGAGGGAGGGAGGATGGGTATATAGAGAGAGGGAGGGAGGATGGGTATATAGAGAGAGGGAGGGAGGATGGGTGTATATAGAGATGGGTGTATTTATAGGAGGAGGAATGGGTGTATATAGAGATGGGAGGATGGGTGTATATAGAGAGGGAGGGAGGATGGGTATATAGAGAGAGGGATGGATGTATATAGAGAGGGAGGGAGGAGAATGGGTGTATATAGAGAGGGAGGGAGGATGGGTATATAAGATGGGTGTATATAGAGAGGGAGGGAGGATGGGGTATATAGAGAGGGAGGGAGGATGGGTATATAAAGGGGTGTATATAGAGAAGGGAGGGAGGATGGGTATATAGGGAGGGAGGATGGGTATATAGAGATGGGTGTATATAGAGAGTCGCACATATACACAGAGAATAGAGGGAGAGAATGGATATAAATATATAATGTGCACGAAGGATAGATCTATAGAGATGACCGTTTCCTATGGCTGTTCTGTACTGATGGACTTTTCTCTGTAGATCATCACATGTGCTCTCCTCTGGCCAGTCCAATGTCCCCCCGCTCTCTGTCCTCCAACCCATCATCGCGGGATTCCTCCCCGAGCCGTGACTTCTCCCCCGCCGTCTCCCACCTCAAGCCACCGATTCTCATTCACCGTGCCGGGAAGAAGTACGGCTTCACCCTCAGAGCCATTCGAGTGTACATGGGGGAGAGCGACGTCTACACCGTACATCACATGGTCTGGGTGAGTGCGCCTTTCCAACTCCTTGAACAAGTAGAAATGATGGCGCTGGATTTAGTAGATCAGTCAGATGATAAGTCGCAGTGGATTTGGCGAGGCCCTTCTCAACCACAGCAGGGTGTCCCTCAGCCAAGGGCACCATATTGTGTGTAAAGTCTAACAGGAGCACCAAACAGTCGGAGAATCCAAAAACATTTATTATTAGTATTGGTTCAAAAAATACATGGAACAGCCAATGTGTTTTGGGGGCTCAAAGACCCCCCTCCCTTCTTCAGGGCTTAAATCTACTGGATAATTGTAAGGGCTCAATCGCCAAGAATGATTTGCTGCATCCGGTATAGCTAGAACCAGCTCATCTGCAGATTGCTACAACCTCTTCTCCAAACGTAATGCCATTATGGAGTCTAGTGGACTTGCCCGGTTTCCGCAGTATATTTCGGTAGTTCACACGTATACGTTCCCTCAGCTGTGGGGATTTGTGTAGAATTCCTTCACTCTTATATCTGTGTCATAAAGTGATTCTCCCAGGAGGCTAAACCAATGGGAATACAGCAAATGTACCCAATCAGAACATGTCTGTGCATCATGCCCTCCCTTATAACAAACCTCCTTTAATTTCAGCACGTGGAAGAGGACGGTCCTGCACACGAGGCCGGACTGCGAGAAGGTGATCTCATCACTCATGTGAATGGAGAACCTGTCCATGGATTGGTCCATACAGAGGTTGTGGAGCTGATCCTGAAGGTATGACAGTCTAGGGCAGTGGTCTCCAAACTGTGGCCCGGGGGCAGGATGTGGCCCTTTGCTTTTATTTAGTCCTTGGGGCACAATTTCATCCACTGATACCAACAATGGGACATATTCCCCCCACTGACCGCAATAAAGGGGCAGAATTTGACCCAATGATCAGGTAAAATGACGAGGCACAATTCCTTCCAATGACACCCAGCAATGGGTAACAATTCCTCCCAATGACACCCAACAATGGATAACCGTTCCTCCCAATGACACCCAACAATGGGTAACAGTTCCTCCCAATGACACCCAACAATGGGTAACAGTTCCTCCCAATGACACCCAACAATGGGTACCAATTCCTCCCAATGACACCCAACAATGGGTAACAATTCCTTCCAATGACACCCAACAATGGGTACCAATGACACCCAACAATGGGTACCAATTCCTCCCAATGACACCGAACAATGGGTACCAATTCCTCCCAATGACACCCAACAATGGGTACCAATGCCTCCCAATGACACCCAACAATGGGTACCAATGCCTCCCAATGACACCCAACAATGGGTACCAATGCCTCCCAATGACACCCAACAATGGGTACCAATGCCTCCCAATGACACCCAACAATGGGTAACAATTCCTTCCAATGACACCCAACAATGGGTACCAATGACACCCAACAATGGGTACCAATTCCTCCCAATGACACCGAACAATGGGTACCAATGCCTCCCAATGACACCCAACAATGGGTACCAATGCCTCCCAATGACACCCAACAATGGGTACCAATTCCTCCCAATGACACCGAAACAATGGATAACAATTCCTCCCAATGACACCCAACAAGGGGTACCAATTCCTCCCAATGACACCGAACAATGGATAACAATTCCTCCCAAAAAAAGTGCATTTATTATTTTTCATGAAAAGATGAACTTATCCTTTAAATGTATACTTGATAGGACTAGAAAATGAGTTGATTAAATTAAACATTTAGGGTGTATAATAAAGTGCCTGAAATAAACTCCGCCCTCTTGCACTCAGCGCTTTTTGGCACTTTTTGAGTCCTCTCAACTGTGCATTTAGCCTGCAAGCTCCGATGAAGGGAGATTGTTCAGACCCCGCATCGGCTCTTGTATTCAGTCATCTGATGTATGATTACAGTTTTTTTTTTTTTTTTTTTTTGACTCATTTTGGTCCGGTACTCTTTATGCAACTTTATATCGATTCTATTAGTAACAGGTATCTATTGCCAAGGTGAGCATGCTTGGACAATCGGTAGTTCCCAATATTTCCACCATTGAGTCATTGAAGGATTACTCCCAGCCCCCCAACCTTCCAACCCCCCAACTTTCCAACCCCCCCCCCCCAACCATCCAAACCCACCAACCCCCCCCCCCCCCAACCATCCAAACCCACCAACCCCCCCCCCCCAACCCCCTTGCTTCATGCAGTGTGAAAATTGTATTCTCTCACCATTGATGATCCTTGTATTGACCGCATTGATTTACGATTCCAGAGCGGGAATAAAGTCTCCATATCCACCACTCCCTTTGAGAACACTTCGATAAAAGTCGGTCCGGCGCGGAAGCCAAGTCACAAGTCTAAGATGGCGCGCCGCAACAAGAAGAGTAAAAGCAAAGATGGCAAGAGAGGTAAATGCGGGTTCTACCGTCGCTGTCTGAGGGCATCGTGTCCAGATCGTCTGCGGTGTCAGGAAGGATCATGTGACCTGAGGGGGGGAATCCCACATATGGCTGATGGGACATAAATCGGATTTCTAGGGATTTTCTGTATTTTGGACTTTCAGGAGTTTCCTTTGATGATTTTCCCATCTTTTCCGCAGTAAAAAGAAAAGTTCGCTGTTTCGGAAGATCACAAAGCAAGCGTCGCTTCTGCACACCAGCCGCAGCCTGTCTTCCCTGAACCGCTCGCTGTCGTCGGGGGAGAGTGTACCGGGATCTCCGACTCACGTTCTGTCCCCGCGATCCCCGACCCAGAGCTACCGCTCCACGCCAGACTCCGCCCACTCAGGTGAGGGTCATACTGCGCATTTCCAACTGCCACCTGCTGTATATAGAAGATCTGTCTGTTGGAGGAACAATCGCAGAATGTGGGTTCCTCCTGTCTTAGGGGACACAGATATCTACCTTCCCCTGAGATGTGATTGGTTGTTCTGAAAGTTTTCTGAAATTAACCAATTCACTTTACCCCATACATGACCAGGGTATGCTATCACGTTACCCCATACATGACCAGGGTATGCTATCATCGTTACCCCATACATGACCAGGGCATGCTATCACGTTACCCCATACATGACCAGGGCATGCTATCACGTTACCCCATACATGACCAGGGCATGGTATCACGTTACCCCAACATGACCAGGGCATGCTATCACTTTAAACCCATACATGACCAGGGCATGCTATCACTTTACCCCATACATGACCAGGGCATGCTATCACTTACCCCATACATGACCAGGGTATGCTATCACGTTACCCCATACATGACCAGGGGTATGCTATCACGTTACCCCATACATGACCGAGGGTATGCTATCACGTTACCCCATACATGACCGAGGTATGCTATCACGTTACCCCATACATGACTGGGGTATGCTATCACGTTACCCCATACATGACCGCGGTATGCGTATCACGTTAACCCATACATGACCAGGTATGGTATCACGTTACCCCATACATGACCAGGGTATGGTATCACTTTACCCCATACATGACCAGGGTATGCTATCACTTTACCCCATACATGACCAGGGTATGGTATCACTTTAAACCCCATACATGACCAGGGTATGGTATCACGTTACCCCATACATGACCAGGGTATGGTATCACTTTACCCCATACATGACCAGGGTACGGTATCACTTTACCCCATACATGACCAGGGTACGGTATCACTTTACCCCATACATGACCAGGGTACGGTATCACTTTACCCCATACATGACCAGGGCATGCTATCACTTTACCCCATACATGACCGGGATATGCTATCACTTTACCCCATACATGACCAGGGTACGGTATCACTTTACCCCATACATGACCACTTTAGGGGTACGGTATCACTTTACCCCATACATGACCAGGATATGCTATCACTTTACCCCATACATGACCAGGATATGCTATCACTTTACCCCATACATGGCCAGGGTACGGTATCACGTTACCCCATACATGACCAGGGTACGGTATCACTTTACCCCATACATGACCAGGGTATGCTATCACTGTACCCCATACATGACCAGGGTACGGTATCACTTTACCCCATACATGACCAGGGTACGGTATCACTTTACCCCATACATGACCAGGATACGCTATCACTTTACCCCATACATGACCAGGATATGCTATCACTTTACCCCATACATGACCAGAGTATGGTATCACGTTAACCCATACATGACCAGGGTATGGTATCACTTTACCCCATACATGACCAGGGTATGGTATCACTTTACCCCATACATGACCAGGATATGCTATCACTTTACCCCATACATGACCAGGATATGCTATCACTTTACCCCATACATGACCAGGGTACGGTATCACGTTAACCCCATACATGACCAGGGTACGGTATCACGTTACCCCATACATGACCAGGGTATGCTATCACTGTTACCCCATACATGACCAGGGTACGGTATCACTTTACCCCATACATGACCAGGGTACGGTATCACTTTACCCCATACATGACCAGGATATGGTATCACTTTACCCCATACATGACCAGGGTATGGTATCGCTTTACCCCATACATGACCAGGATATGGTATCACTTTACCCCATACATGACCGGGGGATGGTATCGCTTTACCCCATACATGACCAGGATATGGTATCGCTTTACCCCATACATGACCGGGGTACGTTATTTAGCACTGCACTACTTTTAAATGCCAATTGTGTGGTCATGCAACTCTGTACCCAAAATATTTTTTTTCCACACAAATAGATCTTTCTTTGGGTGGTATTTGATCACAACTGGGTGTTTTATTTTGAAAATATATATATATATATTTTACTTTCTGTTATAAAACATATCCAATAAAAAAAATCTAATTTCACAAATTCAGGCCGGAGTGTATTCTGCTACATTGTTTATTCAATGGTAAAATTCTTTGGTAAAAACAAAAAAAAAATTCAATAATTGTATATTGGTTTGTGTGACAGTTATAGGGTACAAGCTGTGGGGTGTATACTGAAATTACACAGCTATGATGCTCTACTGGTAATGGCGATGATCAGCCACTTATAGTGGGCCTGTGATAGTGTGGTGGGCAATCTGGTGCTAACAGACCCTCGCTAGGAGGGACACTAACTGACACTGGCATCAATAGTGACACTAATTCAGTGATCAGTGCTAATACTGTACAGCACCGCTAGTGTGAACGAACCCCCATATGGCGATGTATAGTTCAATTTTGTATCATTTGGATAGGGTGCGATAGGATTAGAATCCTAATCAGGTTTCGGCCTGCTGGGGAGATTTACCCTCTTCTTCTTCTTTTTTTTTTTTTTTTCTCCTGGTGACCACTGAGACAGCAAGGGATGTGGAATCCAGAATTTTACTGTTGTCACCAGAACAGGAATAGAGAGGAAATCATCCAAAGGGGACGCCTGTTCAGGATGGGGGGTTCTTATGTTTTAGAGATTTCCTCTCTTTTCCTGTTGTGTCTCCAGAACAGGAAGTGAAGGGAAATACCCTTTGTAGGAAAATAGATGGCAAATAAAACTGATAAAGGTTTCCATCCCAAAACTTGAATGATTTGGCTATTCACAAATTCTATTTTTCATCACCATGTCATAAGGGGGGGATATGATCTCCATGTATAATACATAAGGGGGGGATATGATCTCCATGTATAATACATAAGGGGGGGATATGATCTCCATGTATAATACATAATATGGTATAATACATAAGGGGGGGATATGATCTCCATGTATAATACATAAGGGGGGATATGATCATAATACATAAGGGGGGGATATGATCCCCATGTATAATACATAAGGGGGGGGGATATGATCTCCATGTATAATACATAAGGGGGGGATATGATCTCCATGTATAATACATAAGGGGGGATATGATCTCCATGTATAATACATAAGGGGGGATATGATAATACATCTCCATGTATAATACATAAGGGGGGATATGATCTCCATGTATAATACATAAGGGGGGATAATCTCCATGTATAAATACATAAGGGGGGATATGATCTCCATGTATAATACATAAGGGGGGATATGATCTCCATGTATAATCTCTCCATGTGTATATGATCACCATAAGGGGGGGGGGATATGATCACCATGTATAATACATAAGGGGGGGATATGATCTCCATGTATAATACATAAGGGGGGATTACGATCTCCATGTGTAATACATAAGGGGGGGGGATTACGATCTCCATGTGTATAATACATAAGGGGGGTGATCTCCATGTATAATACATAAGGGGGGGATATGATACGATCTCCATGTACAATCCATGGGGGATATAAATACATAAGGGGGGATACGATCTCCATGTGTAATCCATAAGGGGGATATAATACATACATAAGGGGGGATACGATCTCCATGTACAATACATAAGGGGGGATACATAATGTACAATACATAAGGGGGATACGATCTCCATGTGTATATATAAGGGGGGATACGATCTCCATGTGTAATACATAAGGGGGATAATCTCCATGTATAATACATAAGGGGGATATGATCTCCATGTGTAATACATAAGGAGGGATACATGTAAGGGGGATCTCCATGTATAATACATAAGGGGGGATATGATCTCCATGTATAATACATAAGGGGGATATGATCTCCATGTATAATACATAAGGGGGGATCTCCATGTATAATACATAAGGGGGATCTCCATGTACAATACATAAGGGGGATACATCAGTATAATACATAAGGGGGATATGATCTCCATGTATAAATACATCAGTGGTTCATATAGTAAACTCGGTGTAGTCATTCCCCCTGAGGTCATCACAGAGGACAAGGGGGCGCTCTTTACGTCTGGAGGAAAAGAAATGTAATCTCCAAACACGGAAAGGTTTCTTCACAGTAAGAGCTGTGAGAATGTGGAATAGACTCCCTCCAGAGTTGGTTGTGGCCAGCTCAGTGGATTGCTGTAGGAAAGTCCTGGATTCTTTCTTGGATACACAGAATATAACTGGATATAACATTTATAGGTGACGTTGATCCAGGGAATATCCGATTGCCTCTCGGGGGATCAGGAAGGATTTTTTTTCCCCTGCAGGAGCAAATTGGATCGTGCTTTGCTGGGTTTTTTTTTTGCCTTCCCCTGGATCCACTGTGGGTGTCGGATTATTACTTTTTTTTTTTTCTATAGTTGAACTGGATGGAATTTTGTCTTTTTTCAGCCAGACTAACTATGTAACTATCTAATAATGACCTTAGGTTTAATAAATGGCAGAATTTATAACATTTCCTGTTTTTTCTCACTTTTTTTCCACAGTTGGAGGGAACTCCTCCCAGAGCAGTTCTCCGAGCTCCAGCGTTCCCAATTCCCCAGCCAGCTCTGGACACATCCGGCCCAGCTCTCTGCATGGTCTGGCACCAAAGCTTCAACGGCAATACCGCTCTCCTCGGAGAAAATCTGCAGGGAATATACCACTGTCCCCTCTGGCACATACACCGTCCCCCACGTCGCAGTCCACCTCGCCCCAGCGCTCTCCCTCACCTCTGCCTGGGCACGGCTTGGGGAACTGCAACCTCATGCAATCCTTCCCTGTGAAGCTGCATTCTTCTCCGCCCCTGGTCCGCCAGATCTCCCGACCCAAGAGCGCCGAGCCTCCCCGTTCTCCGCTGCTGAAGAGGGTCCAGTCTGCCGAGAAGTTGTCGGGCTCGCTGTCCTCGGAGAAGAAGCTGGCTTCCTCCCGTAAACACAGTCTGGACATCTCTCACTCCGACTTCAAGAAGGAGATCATGCAGCGAGACCTGAGCCTGCAGTGCCTGCCCGAATCCCTGAGCGAGAGCACCGGAGGGAAGGTGGGGATCGCAGAGAAGGGGACGCTGCAGAAGCCATCGTCGCGGAAGCTCGGTGCCATTCGCCAGGACAGGGTGGAGAGGAGGGAGTCTCTGCAGAAACAGGAGGCTATTCGAGAAGTGGATTCTTCTGAGGACGAGACGGATGATGGCTCGGAGGACAGCCAGGATGGGAGGAGGATGTCCTTCAGGACGGACCAGGATTCTGGTTCTGGATTTAGCGATGAGAAAGATTCCTTCCAAACCCGACGCAAGAGCAGGAGTGACAGCGACTCCTATCTACTTCTCGTCGCCCGCAGTAGAAGTGAACCAAAAGCTCCCTGTGGCCTCACCCCCAACGCCTCCTGTCCCAAGTTGTCAGAGTGTAAGTCCAAAACCCTCCCAGAGACTTACCTGACGTCTGCTGCTCAAACCGCAACTCAAAAGCACAATACCAGCCTGACCCATGAAGGTCCGCACGTGCCCACTGAACCACTCCATGAACTGAGCCGCCATGACGGTCCTCAGAGTGTGGGAATGCAGCCTGGTGTTGCTGTCTCCATAGCCTTGGATAAGACGGAGGTGCCTGGTTGTCCTCAGGCTGGTGTTCCTGAGATCGCCCCCACACCACCTACAGCCACTCCACAGACTGACACGGTACACTGCCCCAATCCTGCCGCCCCGTGCCCCAATCCTGCCGCCCCGTGCCCCAATCCTGCCGCCCGTGCCCCAATCCTGCCGCCCCGTGCCCCAATCCTGCCACCCCGTGCCCCAATCCTGCCGCCCCTTGCCCAGCTGCTAATGTGCAATATGTGACAACTGCCAGTGACCAGGGGCAGCAGAAACCTGGAACGCAATGCACTTTACTAGATCCCGCCGAGACCGGGACGGTGCTGGGTGACGGAGCTGCTTCTCCCGCCACATCGGTGGCCAAAAGTGTCCTGGGACCGGTGAAACTCATCGTGCCTGGAGCCAAGGAGACCGGCCACCAATCAGGAGCGCGGGAGAACAAGCAGAAGAGGTCCGAGATTTCAAGGTCCGAGTCCGTTCAGAGCATGAAAGCCGTTTATGCCGAGGGAGCTTTCAGGACATGCTCTTCTCTGAACGAGTGCACCGCGGCCACTATTGGCCAGCAGACGGACAGTCAGCCGGTCACAGTGAGCTCAGAGCTCCCCTCCTCCTCCTCTGCAGAGCTCCCCTCCTCCTCCTCTGCAGAGCTCCACTCCTCCCCCCCTCCTCTGCAGAGCTCCCCCCCCTCCTCCTCTTCAGAGCTCCCCTCCTTTTCCTCTGCACTTCCCCTCCCTCCTCCTCTGCACAGCTCCCCTCCTCCTCCTCTGCACAGCTCCCCTCCTCCTCCTCTGCACAGCTCCCCTCCTTCTCCTCTGCACAGCTCCCCTCCTCCTCCTCTGCACAGCTCCCCTCCTCCTCCTCTGCACAGCTCCCCTCCTCCTCCTCTGCACAGCTCCCCTCCCCCTGCACAGCTCCCCCTCCCTCCCCTGCACAGCTCCCCTCCCCCTCCCCTGCACAGCTCCCCTCCCCCTCCCCTGCACAGCTCCCCTCCTCCTCCCCTGCACAGCTCCCCTCCTCCTCCCCTGCACAGCTCCCCCCCTCCTCCTCCCCTGCACAGCACCCCCCCCTCCTCCTCTGCACAGCACCCCCCCCTCCTCCTCTGCACAGCTCCCCCCCTCCTCCTCTGCACAGCTCCCCCCCTCCTCCTCTGCACAGCTCCCCCCTCCTCCTCTGCACAGCTCCCCTCCTCCTCCGCAGAGCACGCGCACCCTGCGGTCAGGTCTCAGTCGCTCAGTGGGCTGAGCCAGAAGATGCAGAAAGAGGAGAGAGTGGACTGCCCCCCCTCACAGACCGACAGGAAAACATAGCAGCTGTGTGTGAGCCTGGACTGTGCGCTGTGTACATTTCTGTATAGAGAACCTACTTTGTTTTTCTGTGTCTGAAGAAACTTTTTTTTCTTTTTCTTTTTTTGTTTGGATCTGCAGTAAAATTCTGCGCCTTCTCACCCACCTCTTTTCAATACAGGGTATCCCCGACCCCACCCTTCCCATAGACACACCCCCTAGGTCCCTCTCCTTTTCTATGAGCACACAGGTAGTCATTGCTGGAAGGAGGAAATGGTAGGACTTTGTGGTGGCGGGGGGAGACTTTGTGGTGGCGGGGGGAGACTTTGTGGTGGCGGGGGGGGGATTTATAAAGCTACCTTTCCCAGGCAGATCTCATCGACCTCACAGCCCATTGGATATTGTTCACGATCACCCCACTGCCGTCTGTGTATTAAGCTTCCTGCGTAGATTCGATCGGAAAATGTCCCATCCCCCAACCTCGGAATATGACCCCCAGTCCTATAACACACCCCGTGTCTAGCTGTGCGGAGTAGGCCGAGCGCTCCCCTATTCACAGGAAACATTCCACCATTGTGTGCAGTGACACCAAGGGTGCTTCCTCCCAAACCTATCCCGGTCATCACACTTCGGGGCCCGAAGACGTAGGAACGCCAGATCCAACCTGGACAATTATTCTATATTAAATGTACACTTGGTGTGGGTGGTGCTTCCACCTGAAGAATCAGACAGACAATAAATAGCCTGTCACACAGTTCCCCCTGCATCGGTCCTCCCCTGCGTCGGTCCTCCCCTGCGTCGGTCCTCCCCTGCGTCGGTCCTCTCCTGCATCGGTCCTCTCCTCCTGCATCACTCCCCCCCAGCATTTTTCTCTCAGACCTGTCAGCACCCCCTTCTGGCTCCTTGTTGTCATTACAAATCTCAGACCTGTCAGCTCCCTCTTCTGGCTCCTTGTTGTCATTACAAGTCCCAGACCAGTCAGCTCCCCCTTCTGGCTCCTCGTCATTATGAGGCTCCCTCTTCTGGCTCCTTGTTGCCATTACAAGTCTCAGACCTGTCAGCTCCCTCTTCTGGCTCCTTGTTGTCATTACAAGTCTCAGACCTGTCAGCCCCCCCTTCTGACTCCTTGTTGTCATTACAAGTCTCAGACCTGTCAGCTCCCCCTTCTGGCTCCTTGTTGTCATTACAAGTCTCAGACCTGTCAGCTCCCTCTTCTGGCTCCTTGTTGCCATTACAAGTCTCAGACCTCTCAGCTCCCCCTTCTGGCTCCTTTCTGTCATTACAAGTCTCAGACCTGTCAGCTCCCTCTTCTGGCTCCTTATTGTCATTACAAGTCTCAGACCTGTCAGCTCCCCCTTCTGGCTCCTTGTCATTACAAGTCTCAGACCTGTCAGCTCCCTCTTCTGGCTCCTTGTTGCCATTACAAGTCTCAGACCTGTCAGCTCCCTCTTCTGGCTCCTTATTGTCATTACAAGTCTCAGACCTGTCAGCTCCCCCTTCTGGCTCCTTGTCATTACAAGTCTCAGACCTGTCAGCTCCCTCTTCTGGCTCCTTGTTGTCATTACAAGTCTCAGACCTGTCAGCTCCCCCTTCTGGCTCCTTGTTGTCATTACAAGTCTCAGACCTCTCAGCGACCTCTTCTGGCTCCTTGTAGTCATTACAAGTCCCAGACCAGTCAGCTCCCCCTTCTGGCTCCTCGTCATTATGAGGCTCCCTCTTCTGGCTCCTTGTTGTCATTACAAGTCTCAGACCTGTCAGCTCCCCCTTTGGCTCCTTGTTGTCATTACAAGTCTCAGACCTGTCAGCTCCCTCTTCTGGCTCCTTGTTGTCATTACAAGTCTCAGACCTGTCAGCTCCCTCTTCTGGCTCCTTGTTGTCATTACAAGTCTCAGACCTGTCAGCTCCCCCTTCTGGCTCCATGTTGTCATTACAAGTCTCAGACCTGTCAGCTCCCCCTTCTGGCTCCATGTTGTCATTACAAGTCTCAGACCTGTCAGCTCCCCCTTCTGGCTCCATGTTGTCATTACAAGTCTCAGACCTGTCAGCTCCCCCTTCTGGTTCCTTGTTGTCATTACAAGTCTCAGACCTGTCAGCTCCCCCTTCTGGTTCCTTGTTGTCATTACAAGTCTCAGACCTGTCAGCTCCCCCCCTTCTGGCTCCATGTTGTCATTACATGTCATACCTCTTGTGTTCTATTTTTATGGTTATTAAGCTCTAAGGTACTTTTTGCCATGTTTACAGTTTTTATAGCATTTAAGCAGTGAGCTGTTTAGCTGGGTAGTTAGAGGAGGAGAATGGCGTCTGCTCGGAGGAGTCTTGTTGTAGTGTGCGCACAGCGAGATATTTATGAGGCTCCTGGGCCTCATTGTCCGTGTCACATGTATGTTTAGTGACATGCGTAGCAGCCTTTGCGGTGTCCTGTTAGCGATATGGACGCGGTATGTGTCTGCAAGACAATGTTTACAGTACATGGGGGGGGGGGGGGGGCACACGGCAGTGTTCGGTCATTCTCAGAGTCCCCCAGTCACTCCATCAGGTAATACATTTCTGTATTGTTTTGGGCTGTCAGTCAGAATTTCTGTTGGAGGTACGCTTGCTGATCAGAGGTGCTGCCATTGGCTGCGCCCTCCTTCTTCTGGCCTGTAGTAGATAGAATAGAATAGGTATGACCAGTCCTGAAACCACCAAGGAAATGTTCTCGTTATTTTCTGTGAGGGGCCGCAGAGGGTTCGCTCCCCTCATACAGAGCCAAATCTCCTGGCTGCCCTTCCCAAACCCATCTCATTTCTGGACCAACCCGACAGCGCCATCACAGGATGCTTCTGTTTACTGCAGCAGTGTGAACGTTTACTGCGCTGAGTCCTGGCTGCTGTCCCCGGTGAAGGTACTTCAGTGTGTGCGTGTGGCTTTATTTCCATTTTTTATATCCTTTTGAGGATGGGGGGGGGGTTGACCTGCTCCAGTTAGACATAGCACTCGAGTGCCGACAGAACTGAATTGAATGAAAGGTTTGTGTGGATTTGTGTTTCTTTTTTTTTTTTTTTTAATTTTTATTTTGTTGAAAACAGTCAAACAGATCCTTCGTCTCTATTCCGTAAAGTCCCAGCAGATGTGCGGGGGATGGTGGTTCAGAGAACGAGGGTGTAGATGTTGCTGGGAGTGCTCATGTATGACTGCAGAGCAGCGTGGCACCGGCGCCACCACTCACATCCAATAAAATGATTTTGCTTCTATCCGTTTGTGAGTTTTTATTTGACTTGATGCTGCGTTGGGCGGTACGAGGTTCCGGGGAAGAGGAGGACAGAAGGAAGGGTTCATGTGGGGTGGACTTAAGGCGGAACTCCAGCAATTAGGCAAAATGTACCCTAGCAGGATCCCCGCTGTGACGAGGAACCTCCCCGCTGTGACGAGGAACCTCCCCGCTGTGACGAGGAACCTCCCCACTGTGACGAGGAACCTCCCCACTGTGACGAGGAACCTCCCCACTGTGACGAGGAACCTCCCCACTGTGACGAGGAACCTCCCCACTGTGACGAGGAACCTCCCCACTGTGACGAGGAACCTCCCCTGCCAGGTCCCTAAAAATAAAATGTTTTCTCCAATATAAGAGATATTATATTCCTGAAACAGATCTCAGCAACACAAACTCAAAATTTAATTAATTTTTAATATTCAAAGCAAACTCCCCCATCCATTCATGTCTCCATCCATCCATCCATTCATTTCTCCATTCATTCATCATCCATCCATCTCCATTCATCCATTCATCCATCCATCCATCCATCCATTCATGTCTCCATTCATTCATCCATCCATTCATCCATCCATCCATCCATTCATCTCTCCATTCATCCATAATATACCGTTCTTATATACTGGTACCAGAGTCCCCCACTTACATCAGGGTCTGCAGGGTTCTCCTTTACAATGCAGGGAGAACTCTGATGTAAGAAGGGGCCTCCAGCGTGGTGGTTCTGATTTCATCCTATATTCTGCTGTCCACACACATCTGACTCCTCCCGTGACCCCAGCCCAGAGACGCTCCCCCTCAGCGACCTGAGACGAGAGATGGTCAGAGACTGTAGATGTGATGCAAGAGATGTTAGAGGCTGCGGACATGAGAGGTGGGGATGGAGGAGAGCCAAGTAGACAGAAGAAAGGGGGGATGCAGCCAGGTGGAGGAGAGGGGGGAACAGCCAGGTGGGCCGAAGCAAAGGGGGGGATGCAGCCTGATGGAAGGGAGGATGGAGCCAGGTGGATAGAAGAGGGGGGATGCAGCCAGGTGGAGCAGAGTGGGGAATAGAGCTAGGGGAGGATGGAGCCAGGTGGACAGGAGTGCGGGGGGGGGGGGGGGGGGGGGGGATGGAAGAGGAGGAGAGGACTGAACCAAATGGACAGAAGGGACGGGGTGATATAACCAGATGGGGGGGTTGGAGCCAGGTGCACAGAGGAGAGGGGGGGTGGAGGGGAAGGGGTAACAGCCAGCTGGACAGAAGTGAAGGGATGCAGAAAGGTGGAGGGGGTAGATGGAGAAGGGAGGAAGAGTTAGGAGGAGCAGACCTCATCACTGGTGTGTGTGACCCCCTCCTCCCAAGGAAGCCCTCATCCCCGGTACCCCCCCCCCAATCCCAGCGCACCCCCACCCACCCGACAAGTTCTTACCGGACCAGCAAAGGTGCTGCCAGCAATGAGTATGGCCGGGGTAGGTAGGAAACACGGAGGATGTATTCCAGCCTGAGCCGGCAGCTGGCCATCTCCAGGTCCTTCCCCATTCTACAGGGACCCACATGGCTGTCTGGTCTGTCTTTGAAGATAGAGGGCGAGCCGGGGAAGCAGGTGAATGGTGCCGCCCATATGGGGACGTCAGCCGGGCTGGTTGTGTCATCCTTCCTTCACGGTTCTATAAAATTGGCAGCTGCACCACCAGCGTCCCTCCAGATGTGTATACTATTCTATGACGTGGCATCCGCAGCGGTCTGATGGCGGCGATTGAGCGCAGCTGGCTTCGTAACTGCGCATACACACACTTCCGAAACCAGCCCACAGCAATTTTTTTTTTTTATGGATGGCCGCTGTCCATAATGGACATTTACGGACAGTTTGCAAATTTATGGACACTCCGTAAATTTTAACCCATTTACAGACGGTTGGCAACCCTGTTAGGCACCTACTGGACAACCTTCGCCCCTCCAGCGGGCATATTCCCGAAAAACCATCAACGATGGGATTCCACCAACCAGGGATGCCACGGCCCTGGACCTGTAACCCAGTCAGTACACAAGTGTCTGGAGGACACCACAGTAGAGCCCAGTGCCGGCGGGTCACATTACAGGCCGGGCCCGAGTCTACGTTGAGATGATCTGCAAAGAATTCTCTTCTAGCTCTGCAGCCATTGGAGGAATGTACTTGGAGAAAAAGTCAATAAAATGTTGGGAAAAAAAAGTGCTTGTTTTTTTTTTCTCTCTCTAATGTGAGATTTTCATTCTCCGAGAACACAAGCAAGAAACTGGAGCATGCTGGGAGTGGGAGGGCCTATACTGGACTTTCTACAGCTTAGTTTGCCACCATACAATCTCTTGAAGTCAGCAGCATACATATACGGGAGCTGTTTCACTTGCCAAAGGATTCTTCGATCCTCCCAAGACCTTCTGCTCTCTAGTTCCCATGTCACCTCCTCCCACACTTGCCTCCAGAACTTCCCCCGAGCTTCTCCCATCTTATGGAACTCCCTACCCCAATCTGTCCGGCTGTCTCCTAATCTATCCACCTTTAGACGATCCCTTAAAACCTTTCTCTTTAAAGAAGCCTATCCGGCTTCTACCTAGAAAACCGCCATTTATTTCCTCCATCAGCTCATCCCCTCCACAGCTATTACCTTTTGTATCACTCAACCCTTCCTCCTAGATTGTAAGCTCCCAGGATCAGGGCCCTCTATTTCCTTTTGTACCAAATTGTAACTAGAATGCCTGCCTTCATTTTGTGAAGCGCTGAGCAAAGTGTTGGCGCTGTATAATAATAATCGTTTTGTATTGCTGTCCATCCAGCCGTGAGATTTACACAGCTCTGCATGGCAAGAGGCCTTTTTTTTTTTTTTTTTCTTTGCTGCAGTGTTACTTTCACTTACAGGTCTCCCCAGCCTGTGATCGGCAGTGAAAGGAGAAGCAGCTCAACTCTGTCACTCTGCTCTTCCTTTCTTTCGGCATGCTGCTTGCATTGCAACACACCTGATTGGCTGCTTGTGCTGCTTCTGCCTGTCTGAGCTCTGCTGTACAGGAACTATAGGAGGCTGATACCGGGGCAGATTCAGATACTTTCAGAGCTTGCATCAAAACGGTTCATTTCTCCGGTGATCCTGTTGGCAATGACACGTGGCCCCATGGTGGAGATAATTTGGAGGTGGCCGGGCCCTTTAGTGGTGATGGATTGTGAGATGGATCCTTAATTGTGATGTCTTCTAGTGCCGCGTAATTAACTTTCTCTGCCTGCGTAGACGGAGCGGCTCGGCTGCTTCTGAAATGTTAATCGTATTTATCAGAAGAAAACGCCTGGAGGGCGCTAATCAACATCCGCGCCGCCCCCCGCAACCGCGGACCCCGTTTGTCATGTTTTCCCTCCGGCGCCATGTTTGTTAATTACACTCAGCCCGGCCCGGAATATGAATATTCTCCTCCGTGACTCCTGTGGTGGGAAAGCAAACCGGCCATGGCGAGCTCTTCACAGGTTTTACTCTGTGCTGGAGGGGAATATTCCGTGTGACCCCTTTATTGGCTCTCAGGACCCCGGAGACCCCCGAGACGGGACAGTACAGGAGTCTGATGGGTGAGAGGACTCCAAGGTAAGTAAATCTTTTGGAATTTCATCCGCTATAAGGCCGTGCGAGTATCTGGTGCCGGCGGATGTAGACACAGCCGTGTGATTTCCCCATTACGGGCCCCCAGTATTGAACCCACACGGAGAGCCCATGTCCTGTCCGTCGTGTACAGGGCGATCCTGATCCTGGATTTCCCTTCTCTTTGTGGTGGAGAAACTTCATTGGTTCATCTGTATGGAGAACAGGGACCCTCGGAGTACAATATCCGGTCAGGGTTATCCCAAATGATGAGGTAAGGGGAACAGTAGACACAGTCGGCATCATAGTTAGTCTGGCTGAAGAAAGGCAAAAGTCCATCCAGTTCAAACGTTAAAAAAAAAAAAAAAAAAAAAAAAAGTTATGATCCGACACCCACAGTTGATCCAGAGGAAGGCAAAAACCCAGCAAAGCACGATCCAATCTGCTCCTGCAAGGAAAAGAATTCCTGATCCCCCGAGAGGCAATCGGATATTCCCGGAATCAACTTTACCTATACAGTGAAGGAAATGTGTATTTGTTCCCCGGCTGATGGTGAATGTTCGCCCCTCACACAATGGAATGTTCGCCCCTCAACATAAATGATCGGTCTAACAATGGAATGTTCGCCCCTGAAATGATCAACTGAATGTTCGAACACTGAGAGACAGAATACAACAACAAATTCAGCAGAAATGCGTCTAACAAATGATGACTGATCTGCATGTTCATGAGGGAAAGAAGGATTTGATCCCCTTCACAAAACATGACTTAGTACTTGGCCAATTCCTTGTTGGCAATCACAGAGGTCAGACGTTTCCTGGAGTTGGCCCCCAGGTTCGCACACATCTAAGGAGGGATTTTGGCCCACTCCTCTTGGCAGATCCTCTCCAAGTCATTAAGGTTTGGTGGCTGACGTTTGGCAACTTGAATTTTCAGTTCCCTCCACAGATTTTCAATCGGATGAAGGTCTGGAGACTGGCTAGGCCACTCCAGGTCCTTAATGTGCTTCTTCTTGAGCCGCTCCTTTGTTGCCTTGGCCGTGTGTTTTGGGTCATTGTCATACTGGAACACCCATCCACCACCCATTTTCAATGCCCTGGCTGAGGGAAAAAGGTTCTCACCCAAGATTTGAGGGTACATTGCCCCGTCCATCGTCCCTTTGATGTGGTGCAGTTGTCCTGTCCCCTTAGCAGAAAAACACTCCCAAAGCAGAATGTTTCTGCCACCATGTTTCACAGTTGGGATGGTGTTCTTGGGGTCATAAGCAGCATTCCTCTTCCTCCAAACACGGCGAGTTGAGTTGATGACAAAGAGCTGGATTTTGGTCTCATCTGACCACAACACTTCCCACCAGTCCTCCTCTCATCATTCAGATGTTCAGTGGCAGACTTCAGACGGGCCTGGACATGTGCTTTCTTGAGCAGAGGGACCTTGCGGGCACTGCAGGATTTCAGTCCTTGTCGGCGTAGTGTGTTACCAATTGTTTTCTTGGTGACTGTGGTCCCAACTGCCTGGAGATCATTGACAAGATCCTCACGTGTAGTTCTGGGATGATTCCTCACTGTTCTCATGATCATTGACACTCCACGAGGTGAGATCTTGCATGGTGCACCAGACCTAGGGAGACTGACACTTGTTTTGTGTTTCTTCCATTTGTGAATGATTGCACCAACTGTTGTCACCTTCTCACCAAGCTGCTTGGCCATAGTTTGGTAGCCCAGTCCAGCCTTGTGTAGGTCTACCATCTTGTCCCTGACATCCTTGGACAGCTCTTTGGTCTTTGCCATGGTGGAGAGTTTGGAATCTGATGGTTTGATGGCTCCTGTGGACAGGTGTCTTTTATACAGGTAACACAATGAGATTAGCAGCACTCCCTTTAAGAGACTGCTTCTAATCTCAGCTTGTTACCTGTATGAAAGACACCTGGGAGCCAGAAATCCTGCTGAATGATAGGGGATCAAATCCTTCTTTCCCTCATGAACATGCAGATCCGTCATCATTTGTTAGATGCATTTCTGCTGAATTTGTTGTTGTATTTTGTCTCTCAGTGTTACACCGAACATTCCATTGTTAGACCGATCATTTCTGTGTGAGGGGTGAACATTCCAGTGTTAGACCGATCATTTCTGTGTGAGGGGCGAACATTCAGCATCAGCCGGGGAGCAAATACGCATTTACTTCACTGTAAATGTTATATCCAGTTATATTCTGTGTATCCAAGAAAGAATCCAGGACTTTCCTACAGCAATCCACTGAGCTGGCCACAACCAACTCTTGAGGGAGTCTATTCCACATTCTCACAGCTCTTACTGTGAAGAAACCTTTCCATGTTTGGAGATTACATTTCTTTTCCTCCAGATGTAAAGAGCGCCCCCTTATAGGCACAAGCCTTGTATGCCCAAAGGCAAGAACCGCTGGAAGGAGTCTCTGATTACACCAGATGGATAGATCTTGTATCCAGCAAGCCTAGAATCAGAACAGGCTGAGTGCCCCTCCTCCTCACAGTCTGTAGAGTTAAAACACAAATGGCCTACAAGTCGCAGCGTCCTCTGATAACAATAGGGGCCAGGTAGAATCCTTCCCGCCATCAGCCTCAAAATCATCGACCTCTGCTATCTGTTGTCACGATAACAATCCTCTTGTTAGCTGGATAGGGATGAGTAATAGATTTGTGCTGAGGTGGTGCTGGACTTGCTGGCTGGGGGGTCCCTTTGGGTTCCCTCAAGCTCCAGCAGTGAATTCCATCACTACTTGTAGATCGTCCGCTGACCACCAATGTATGGAACCGCCAGTCATGTCATTTTTATTCACATCAAGTTTAGCCTCGAATTTTAGATGAAATTTGCTTGGAAATTTCACTGGAAAATCAAGCAGTGAAGGAATTCATGGATGGAGCCTGAAGACACCCAAAGGAACCCCCCATCCAGCAAACCCAGCACCACCTCATCGGTGAATGTCACCTTGTGCTGAGGATACAGGAAGTTCACACATCTTCACAGAGAATCTCATCAAAAGTCACGGGACAAATTCATTTCAATGAAATTACATCACATTTAGCCTCAAGTTGTAGGTGAAATTTGCTTGGAAAATAAAAATCACGTGGTTGGTGGGAAGAATGCTCCTTACATTGGTGGTCGGTGGGAAGAATGTCCCTTACATTGGTGATCAGTGGGAAGAATGTCCCTTACATTGGAGGTCAGTGGGAAGAATGTCCCTTACATTGGGGGTCAGTGGGAAGAATGTCCCTTACATTGGGGGTCAGTGGGAAGAATGTCCCTTACATTGGGGGTCAGTGGGAAGAATGTCCCTTACATTGGGGGTCATTGGGAAGAATATCCCTTACATTGGTGATCAGTGGGAAGAATGCCCTAACATTGTGTGTCAGTGGGAAGAATGCCCCTTACATTGGTGGTCAGTGGGAAGAATGTCCCTTACATTGGTGGTCAGTGGGAAGAATGTCCCTTACATTGGGGGTCAGTGGGAAGAATGTAACTTACATTGGTGGTCAGTGGGAACAATGGCCCTTACATTGGGGGTCGGTGGGAAGAACGCCCCTTACATTGGTGGTCGGTGGGAAGGACGTCCCTTACATAGGTGGTCGGTGGGAAGGACGTCCCTTACATCGGTGGTCGGTGGGAAGGACGTCCCTTACATCGGTGGTCGGTGGGAAGGACGTCCCTTACATTGGTGGTCGGTGGGAAGAACGTCCCTTACATCGGGTCAGTGGGAAGAACGTCCCTTACATTGGTGGTCAGTGGGAAGAATGTCCCCTTACATTGGGGGTCAGTGGGAAGGATGTCCCTTTGGTGGCCAATGGGAATAATGCTCCTTACATTGGGGGTCAGTGGGAAGAATGTCCCTTACATTGGGGTCAGTGGGAAGAATGTCCCTTACATTGGGGGTCAGAGGGAAGAATGACCCTTACATTGGTGGTCAGTGGGAAGAATGTCCCTTACATTGGTGATCAGTGGGAAGAATGTCCCTTACATTGGGGGTCAGTGGGAAGAATGTCCCTTACATTGGGGGTGGGGAAGAATCCCTTACATTGGTGGGAAGAATGTCCCTTACATTGGGGGTCAGTGGGAAGAATGTCCCTTACATTGGGGGTCAGTGGGAAGAATGTCCCATTACATTGGGGGGTCAGTGGGAAGAATGTCCCTTATCCCTTAGGGGGTGGGAAGAATGTCCCTTACATTGGGGTCAGTGGGAAGAATGTCCCTTACATTGGGGTCAGTGGGAAGAATGTCCCTTACATTGGGGGTCAGTGGGAAGAATGTCCCTTACATTGGGGGTCAGTGGGAAGAATGTCCCTTACATTGGGGGTCAGTATGAAGAATGTCCCTTACATTGGGGGTCAGTATGGGAAGAATGTCCCTTACATTGGGGTCAGTGGGAAGAATGTCCCTTACATTGGTGGTCAGTGGGAAGACTTCGATTGGATGCCATCTGTTGTTCTAAGGTCGGGGCTGTGGCAGGTTCTCTTTGTTCAGGAAGTCATCTTCTGTATTTATCGGTTGGTGTTGAGTCATTTCTGGTTAGTGGGCCAATCCTCAGGCAGTGTTGCCGTGTTGTGAATACACGGTGGTGTGAATTATGAGGAGGGCGGGGGTGGGGATGTGACGTGTCCACGGAATCCTCTCGGCCTGTTTACCCCAAACACAGCGGACCTGTTATTACTGTCAATACTCGGCGGGAAGTGACCCCACCATCCAGAAAATGTAAATCTGCAGGCAATGTTCTTCCTGGTTCCCCTTTAAGAAGAACCTATTTCCACATTTTTCTGTGTGTGGATTGTGTGATATATCTAGCTCCTCCTATTATATGAAGTGGCTCCACCCACCAACATTTGTCCTTATAACAACCTTTTTTTTTTCTCTAGATTTGGGACCCTCTTAGGTTTTTATTGCTGTGTGTGACCCCGCTGGGGAGATTAATCCTCTCTGTGTCCTGGTGTCACCAAGACTGAAGTAATAAGATTGTAAGCTCCCAGGATCAGGGCCCTCCCTCCTAGGATCAGGGCCCTCCTATCCCTCTTGTATTGAACTGTATTGTTGCTGTATTGTCTCCCGTTATATTGTACAGCGCTGAGCAAACTGTTGGCGCCATAAATCCTGTATAATAATAATAATAATACAAGTATAACGTTGTCACCAGAGCAGGAAGTAAGTGAAATTTTCGAAAGGGGACACCTGTTCTGGTGACAACTAAGAGGGGACTCCCCTCACTTTGGGGAGGTTTCTTCTCACTTCCTGTTGTGTCCTCACCCGCGTGTGTCTTGTAGGTACAGAGAATGTCCATTCTGGATACAATTGGAGATGAAATGTAACAAATGAATCAAATTCGCTGCCGCTGATCTGTGTTCTGCGCAGTACCTGTGCTAGGCTCAGGGGGGCAGCATTGTTCCATCATGTGGGGTGTAATGCCCTTTCTCAGGTTTCCTTCCTTCTAGGATTGGACTTTGGGGGGGGGGGGGGGGGGGGAGCTCATAGCTGGTGACCCCAATATTGTATACACTGACCCCTGTGTAATCTGCCCCCACACTGTGAATGGTTAATACCATATATATAGATGTGGGCCCCCAGGGGCCCTCTGCCTACTGTGCATACTGAGCTTCGTTTTCTGCCGCACGAAGTGCGAATTCTGTCCGCAGCAGCTGCGACCCTCCGCTGCAGATTATTAATGGTTTAGTAGCATGCGATTAACTCCTTACTGACCAGTGATCTCTGTACAGCGCTGCGGTATATGTCAGAGCTATATCAATGTATATAATAGTGTGTGACTGTGGGGGAGGGACATTAGAGTGTAAGCTCCTCTGGTACAGAGACTGATGTGACTGTGGGGAGGGACATTAGAGTGTAAGCTCCTCTGGTACAGAGACTGATGTGACTGGGGGGAGGGGACATTAGAGTGTAAGCTCCTCTGGTGCTGAGACTGATGTGACTGCGGGGGAGGGGACATTAGAGTGTAAGCTCCTCTGGTACAGAGACTGATATGACTGGGGGGGAGGGACATTAGAGTGTAAGCTCCTCTGGTACAGAGACTGATGTGAACTGTGGGGGAGGGGACATTAGAGTGTAAGCTCCTCTGGTGCTGAGACTGATGTGACTGTGGGGGGAGGGGACATTAGAGCGTAAGCTCCTCTGGTACAGAGACTGATGGGACTGGGGGGGGGGGGGGACATTAGAGCGTAAGCTCCTCTGGTACAGAGACTGATGGAACTGCAGGGGGGACATTAGAGCGTAAGCTCCTCTGGTACAGAGACTGATGGGACTGTGGGGGGAGGGGACATTAGAGTGTAAGCTCCTCAGTACAGAGAATGATGTGACTGGGGGGGAGGGGACATTAGAGTGTAAGCTCCTTTGGTACAGAGACTGATGGGACTGGGGGGAGGGGACATTAGAGTGTAAGCTCCTCTGGTACAGAGACTGATGTGTTACCTTTGCTCAGGTTGTCCTGTAATCAGGGGTGGACTGACAACTCATGGGGCCCCCGAGCAATAGGGGATCATGGGGCCCCTGTGTCCTTGCCCAAACTCAAAAACCTATGATAAAGGTACAAGGGGCATCTCATGGGGCCCCCTACTGACCCCGGGCCCTCGGGCAGTGCACGAGTTTCCAAATGTTTCAGTCCGCCCCTGCCTGTAATAGATTTATACTTTTCAGCCATTGCGAGGTTAACAGACGAGCGCAGCGGTCGAATTCTCGCCTGCCACCTTCGGCCATTTTCCATTCGATTGGCTCATAGATGACAATTCGCTCAGAACGAGTTTAACTTTCTCTTCCCTGCCGAGACTGTTGCTGTCCCATATTTCCGGTGCCAGTCTGGGGACTGCAGAGACCAGGACTGCCCCTGGCCGTCGTTCACGCACGCCGTAAGTTGCGTCAGAAATGAATTTCACCGCAATGAGATATTTTCCGTTTCAGGAAATCTGCCGTCCTGACACCAGAGATTCTCCGCCATGAAGGTTAGCGGGTGGCTCCTGCGTCCTCTGTGCGTTGTCGTCGTTGGAAACGCACTGGTGGCAGCTGTCGCCCTGCGCACAAATGTGAACGCCGTGGGGGTCCGTTATAAATACCGCCCGGGTTGTACCTTCGTTGTTTCTTTTTATTTGAAGCGCAAGTTGGGCGGGTTTATCTGCTGCGCGTCTCATAGGTTCTCCTTACTACTTCTAAGTTCTACTTTGGAATTTCATCTGGAAGTTGCGGCAGAACTGAGACGAGATTTGGACGATCGCACAAAACTGAAAATGTCCTTTTTTTTTCTTTCTGCAAAAGAGGGTGAATATGAATATATCTGCGTGCAAAATGCAGAACCTCAGCCTGGAGGTGCAATCGCATTAAAGCGGAGCTCCAGTCACAGAGAAAAAAAAGCCAGCAGCTGCAAAAAACTGTCCCTCGATCCCGCGGCGTCCTCACCACAGCCGGGTTCACTGACCGGCGCCGGCATCTTCAGTGCGGACACCCGGCTGCGACTGCTGGCGGCTCCACAGCCTGGTACCCACTGCGCATGCGCCTTGTGAATGGTCCCGTAGTCTCCTGGGACATGTGGCGGGTCCCAGGAGACTACGGAGAGGGAGGGGGAGGACAACTTTCACCTAGCCGAAGTGGAAGCTGGTACCTGTCGAATTTGAGTCCCCTCCCCCCCCTTTCTTCCCCAAAGGTGCCAATCCTTAACAGGGAGTGGAGGGCGAAGTCTTAAAGCGGAACTTCCCGTTTTGGGGCTTTAACGTGCGTGTGTTGCGGTGCGTTTTTGCACTGTCCACCCAGGCTCACCGCTGGTCGCAATCCCGTGCCGCCATTTTAGGAGAGAGCTTCCTTCTCCTTTCCTACTGGCCCATCAATGACATTTGCACCTCATCTGGCAGATTCCAATGATTTGTTGGACACCCCCCCCCCCCCCCCCCCTCCAAATTCTTGCAAGTTTTTTTATTTTTTGGGGGGATGGGGTGTGGGGACCTTTTTTGCGCTAATTCTCCGCCACCCCTCACCCCCAACTCATACACCAGATGAGGTGCAAGCAGGGGCGGATTGACCATTTGGAAACTCGGGCACTGCCCAAGGGCCCGGGGTCAGTAGGGGGCCCCATGAGATGCCCCTGGTACCTTTTTCATAGGCTTTTTTTTGCGTTTGGGCAAGGACACAGGGGCCCCATGATCCCCTATTGCCCGGGGGCCCCATGAGTTGTCAGTCCGCCCCTGGGTGCAATACACAATGGGGGAGATTTACTGAACATGGAGAGTGCAAAATCAGGTGCAGCTCTGCCTAGGAACCAATCAGCTTCCAGGATTTATTGGCAAAGCTTCATTAATCAAATTGAAGTTATTTATTTCAGGTACTTATATAGCGCCATCACTTTACGCAGCGCTTTACATATATATATTGTACATTCACATCAGTCCCCGCCCCCGAGGAGTGTACAATCTAAGGTCCCTAACTGACATTCATACATACACGTACTAGGGACAATGTAGACAGGAGCCAATTCACCTACCAGCATGTCTTTGGAGTGTGGGAGGAAACTGGAATACCTGGAGGAAACCCACGCAGGCACAGGGAGAACATGCAAACTCCAGGCAGGTGGTGCCGTGGTTAGGATTCGAACCAACGACCCGAGTACTGCCAGGGCGAAGTGCTAACCATTTAGCCGCTGTGTTGTTAGAAGCTGATTGGCTGCCATGCACAGTTGCACCAGATTCTGAGTGCTCCAGTTTTAATAGACTGCCCCCCCCCCCCCCCAATGTGTCTGGAGAATGCATCACACCACATTACACTTGTCTACTGAGAAGAAAGCCTCCCCTCCCCCGAGATCTCCCTGGAAGACACTGGTGACGTAGCCTTCCCAGGAGGCCCCTTAGAGGTTGGGGTTACGTCACCATCATCTGCATGGAAGGAAACAACTACAACGTTCTCTTCGCATCGTTCAGTCGAATAAAAAGCAGATCAGCACACAGTGATGTGCACACCTTGGAGATTTTTTTTTTTTGGGGGGGGGGGGTGGTTCCACTTTAAGGGCCCGTTAAAAGTGAACACACTAAGGTAACCGAATATGCTGCAACAGGATAGGCTTCTCTCGGTCATGTGACCTCAGGCCAGCGCTGCCCCTCGCGGCGTGTCCACAGTGATGGGTTCTGCG